ATAATCACAGATTCCTCTCACTCTCTCAGGGCTTCAGCTGCTCCAGTTGCACTTTGGAGGAGGCTCAGGGGACTGACAGTGCTGTCCTCCCATAAAATGACACAGATCAAAACCAAACACAACAAATAAAAAAGACATCAAACTAAAGCAAAGATACTTCAGCATTTTCCCCTTCAAAAACATCCCAAAGCTTCTAACAGGATTAAGAGAGACAGTATACTTGGACATGAAGAAGAAAGGGTCACTGAGAAATCTCTCTTTCTGGGGCCTGTGAGGACCAAGCAGGTCTGCTGTCTTTCCTGGCTTATCATGGGATCTGGGGAGCCCAGTGTGATAAGGCCACACTGAAGAAGAGGTCTCTGTTTCTGGTTCCTCACTCTAATCTCCCCTTAGCCTATGCATTATTTCCAAATCAACCCTACCCAGAAGACAATTAGGCAGGGCATCCTCTCTTGACTCCTAGCCATAATACCTGAAGAAGAGGGCTTAGAGACCCAGGGAGAGCTCTTACCCTTTAGCTCATGGAATGCAGAAGATCAGAGATGAAGAGAAGGCAGAAGAATTTCACTAACCTCCAGCAAAACCCAGGAGATACGAAAAGAATGCCCAGGCTGGATATACCAGTGTCCAAGTATGCACAAGTGTAAGTATTTCCTTTGGATACACACACTATGCCATCCAGAATTGTTGATCAAGTTATTCTGATTTCCTTACTTGGTTTGATTCACATAAATACAATATCAAAGTACACGCACACCCACTGTCAGCGACTGTGTCTTCTGGTAGCATAAACACAAGATAATCATCTAATTTATCATTACATGTATTAACATATGTATGTTTTGAACCCAAGGTCTCAAGTATGCTAAGCAAATGCTCTACCACTGAGCTTCACGCTCCAGTCAAGTTTATTATATCTTGTTAAAAAGAAAGGAAGGGAAAGTGGCTTCCACAAGCCCACCAGTTGTTGAGTATGGGGGAAGAAGATTCTTTGAGTCCACTCACTTGTTTAGAAAGAGACTCTCCTCGACTGGGTTAAAAACATTAAACAAACTAGAGGTATCAAATGTAACCTTCAAAAACCATCTCTACTTTTGCTTCCTTGTCCAACCACATTGCTTGAGGCAGTCTGATAAAGTTAATTGTTCCTGGAGCATTTCCAGAAAGTTAATCTTCTAACTGTCCTACCTGTCCCTAAGAGGTTATCAGGAGGATGAAAACTCCAAAAGCTAAGAAAGGCCAGTACGTGGGAAGCAGCACAGAATTGGATTCTTTCCACTCGTATTTGCTCTGTAGCCTAATTCAGAGTTGCCTCCCGAAAGCCAGAGACTCGAACAGGGTCACACCAGCTAACAAGACTGCTTTCAGATGCCCCAAAAACTGTGATGGAACTCCAAAAACAACTTTATTAGAAAGTAGGGATACAAGAGACTACTTAGAACAGCTTCTAAAACTGAAGGACTGGGGACCGCAATCTGCTTCCTATAGCACCTCCCCTCCATGCTTGAGCTCAGGCTTCTGAACACTCTGGTCCTTAAGGCATTGCTGAAGAGGAAGTGGGGAAGAGGAAGGGAAGGGACCAGATCCAGACCCTGATCCAAGCACTTTTTTGCTGATTGGTTGGTGGAGCATGTGACTCTGCTAAATTCTTTGCTGATTGGTTGTTTTGCTCCTTTTGGGCATTAAAGACCTAGGAACAGAATTAAAAGCTTTTTGGGTAGACTAGGGCATCTTTGGCACCTGATTGTTTACCCATCCCCCCATCTCAAAATCGTCCAGAAAAGAGGGTGGGAAAACCAAGAATCTCAGATCCCTTTTGTGTTTGCCCCTTTCCAGGTGAGACCAGCAAAACATCAAACACACACACACACACACACACACACACACACACACACACACACAGGCACACAGTACTTATATCGACCTGACCAAAGCAAAACATGGGAAGGGAGAGAGGTCCCATTGTAAAAAAGAGAAGTAAAGATAATGAAATGGAACTTTTGAGCCTGAAGATCAAAAGGAGGGCAGAGAAGTGTTGAATGACCCCAAGAGACGCTGTGTAAATCCATAAAACACAGAGACACCTTCACCTCAACCTCTACTAGGAGAGAAAGAGAACGGTGAGACAGGGAGGGTGCTGGAGTGTTACAAGGGAGTGCAGCTTTGACACAGACTAAATTTTTGGTTAAAGACCCTTGGCTTTCCACTAAGGCCCTGGGGAGGCTCAAGTGGGAAAGAGTCCCTAAGAGATGGAAACTCCCATCTTCTGATGTTTAGGTCAGTAAATTTCCAGAAACCCTCAAAAACACAAATCGATGGAAGAGGAGTGGGAGAGGGCAGGCAGAGTCTAAGGAGGAAGCTTCCTGAATGCTCTCCTGGAGAGTCTAAAGCAGAGAAGTTGGGGCAAGAGGGTAGAGGCAGCAAGTTGGGGGGTCCTGAGAGAGTGCATCAGAGGAGCCCTGCACACTGGAACCTGAGCTTTTAATGCTTGAGAGTTTAAGCCCAGATGGGATGTCATAAAGTTGGAGCTTGGCTGAGCCTCCCCTGCCTTTTGGCCTCTGTTCTCCCCAGATCTGCTCAGGTGATTCTTGCTGTATTGTAGGGTACCCTGGACTGTGCTCACAGCATGCATAACCTTCCCATTGCACAGCTGCTCAGACCCTTCTCTCCCACTGCAGTCTCTCTTCTGGAAGGTTGCCCCCTCTGCTCCCCTGACCTCTGGTGTTTGTGAATCTTTGTAAACCTTCCTCATTCCTAGCCAGTGAGCAAGCACTCACTTTTGTGGATTAACCTACCCACACCCAGGGAGGTGAACCTCACAGGTGTGGTGGGCATATGTCCTCTGCTCTGCTTCCTTTGGTACTCCTTGATAGACACCTGAAGGGAGCCCCAGGGTGCCTTGCACAATAAGGATCCTGTTAGTTCCATTCCTAGGAAGCCACATCCTCTTCTCCCTCCACCCCCACGCAGGTAGGAGGTTTCCAGAGTCTAGCAAATAAGTTGTCTCCACCATGCTTAACCACATCCAACACACATCTGCTGCACACCAACCAGAAACCTCTAGGTCTCCAGGGCCTGGCTTCACCTAGGCAAGGCTGGGAATGCTGGAGGGACCTAGTAGCTAGGACTGGGGGAAGAAGACATGAGCCTTCTAGGCCCCAGACACACCCAGGTCCTGGACTCTGGAGGCTGGGGTAATTGCCCACCCAAGCCTAGTGCTGAGACATTGAGATCAGTACAAGCAGCAGTCTGTGGGTTCAGAAACCACAAAGCTGTCCTTCCCTGTCTTCCTCCCCAACTTTTTACCCTGCGTATACCCTTGGCTCATGGCCTCTCTGTGGAACAGGGGGCCCCAGAGGCACTTTGCCTTCATGTTTAGGGCCAACTGAAGGATGCAGACGGGAGACCTGGTCTAGGGAGAAAAGGTCCTCCATCTTCCTGCACTCCAGAATCTCCCCTTATTCTCCCACCCAGCCCTGGGGAAGTCTAAGGAGGCCTTTTTCTTTCTCCCCTTAATGGGTGAGAATCCTCTTCTTTCAAACTGGGGAGGGAGTTAAGTAAATGAGAGAAAGGGCCTGAAAGAGAGAAAGGGGGGAGAGAATCAACTTACAGAGATCGCCAGGGATTCATTGCGAAGATGTAACCTCTCACCATCATCCCCAGCGCCGTGATCCCCTCTAACTGCCAGGCCCTCTGTCCTAGCATTAAACCTCCCCAGCAGCTGCATGGCTGGACAGTTAAGATTATATATGATGTAAATATATTGTGGGTTTGTCAGCTCTCCCTACACCATAAAACTTGGTTTAATGACATCACGTGGTCCCCCAAGAGCCACTCACGGGCTTGCCTTCAGGCCATTCACATAAATAACCTCCAAAAGTTTCAAACTCCTAAATTCACATAGAAGCCTTTTCTAGTCCTCTAATGCCCAGTCACAGTGAAAAGCCCCCACGCTGCTCCTCTGCCCCTCCCTGCACCCCCTTGCAGGGGGGAGGGGGGAGAAAATGGATCTTATTTATTTACTTACTTACTTATTTCTCCAAGGACCTGATGCCCTCAAGGTCCTGTTGATATTTTCTTCCTATTTTGTTCTCCTCTAATTGCTCAGAGTGAGCCGTGTCCCCTCTTCTCACTCCCCCGGAAGGTAAGTCACGTTCTTCCCTCTTTCCTGCTGTCAGAGTGGGTGGGCTCTAGGGCAAAGTAGAGAGGTGGGCTCTGGCTCTCTTACCACCTTTTGGAAACAAGGAGCCCCTCTATTTACTCTCCCAGAGCAATGCTAAGCCCTGGAACTTGGAAGTTGGTCCCCGGGGCAGCTGGATGGGGTAGACTTTAAGCAGAAGCTTCTGGTCAAAGAGAAAAGGGATTTCTAGGCCTCACCCACTCCCAGGCCAGGAGAGGTCTGAGGCCTCTGGCTTTGTGTCTTCTGTCTGGGTTGCCTCTGCCAGCAGCACCGCTGGAGCTGGACAAGGGCTCAGGCCCATGGCAAAAAAACCCGAGAGCTAGTAGGCACAGCTTTCCCTCCAAACCCGGGCAAGCTGAGACAGTCCTTCAGCTAGCTCCTCCAGGGAGTAAGAAGTTCAGACTTGCCTGGAGGAGGCAAGCAATCCACCGAAGGGCAGGTGGACTTTGCCAGGCAAGTCTGGTCAGCATCACCCCTATCCTGTTCCCAGTCCCCATCTATCCCTGGGTTTATCAAACCCTGATGTGTCCCCCTGGGGAGAAAACACAGGGCCTTATGAAGCCTGGGAGGCTGGAACTGGTGAGTCTGGGCACCATCACCTCTTCCTTATTTAAGTGTTAGCCATCTGAGCTGGCAGCTCTTCTTCACACCTCAGTGCTCATCCAATAGTCTAACTCAGCACGCAGAAAAATTAAAATACCTCCCTGAAGAAAACCACACATTCTCTCTCTCTCTCTCTCTCTCTCTCTCTCTCTCTCTCTCTCTCTCTCTCTCTCTGTGTGTGTGTGGAAAGAGAGAGAGAGAGAGAGAGAGAGAGAGAGAGAGAGAGAGAGGAGAGGAAGAGAATAGGTTGGGGCTGGGCTGCTCAGGCTCCAGGGTGCAAGTTGAGGAAGTTGAGGGGAGACTTTAGCAGTGCTTTAACATTTCCTGAGCACAGAGGAAGGGAAGGGAGGTAATGGATCCAGTTCAGCAGATAGATACTCACTGAGACCTCCTACATGCTAAGCATAGGATGGGGACAGACAATAGCTTAGGTGGCGGGAAGCAGTAAAGTAAGCCCTTTAATAATCCAAGGAGTATCAGCATTAATGGTTATAAGAAAAGAAATCTCCCTGCCTCTCCCTAGGGCCACTCTGTTCCCTTTCTGTCCTAGTATAGAGTAGCCCCTAGCCCAGTTTCAGATCCCCACACCTCCAGGAAATCACCCCATTGTGGGAGGCTGGAGAGGAAACGCAGTAGAGTTTTATAAACCCATCCCACATTTGTTTCTGCTATAAAGTACTTCCTCCTCCAGCTCATCCCAGGAACTTGGAGTGGAGCTGAGCAGAGCAGAAGCCTAGGCCAGCCTCAGTTGAATTAGCTGTGCCCCCTCCCCCTCCATCAAAATTTCAGAGACTGTGATCAAAGAGAGCAAACTGACCCCCACACTGGTTTATGTAGCTCTGATCCAGTTCCTTCATTGGCTTAGAACCTAGAAGACAGGGAGCAGATTGTCTGTTTTCTTTGAGGCAGAAATGCTCACAGGGCAGGCTGCACTCCCTGTCCTCCTAGTCCCCCCTCCCCTGTCACCCCATTCCACATCTTAGAAAACTGAAGAACATCTCAAACCTTGACTAGCCCCCCCCATCTCTTTTACCAAGCAGTATCAACTATTGCTGGGGATCCTTCTGGGATCAAACATAGCCCTACACCGGGGACTCAGCTTTCCCTCGGGGATGACCCAGACGGAGTAGAGATCTGAAGACCCAGAAAGGCCTGAGTCTCTAGTCATCTGAGTCACTAGTTCCTATGTCCTGGCATTACGTACAGAGGCCAGACAGTCTAGAAGTCTTTTTAATCAAGGAAGAATAGGGCATAGAAAAGTCTGGGGAAACACCAGTACAGGAGCTTTTGAGTACCCTTCCCTTCACCCCAGAGGCCCTTTTTGGAACTCAGTTACATTTCTCTATTCTTGCTGCTCCTAGAAGTGTTTAAAGTATTTTTAAAGGGATTGGTTAAAGACTGGGCCTCCCCATACACTTCAGAACCTATTTAGACACGTCTGCTTAATGCATGCCCTAAACAGACAGAAGTCATTGCATCTTTAATCTTGTTTTTCTTCATTTTTATTTGATATGACAAAATATAGTTTCAGAAAGGATCTGGAGTCAATAAATAGTTGGATGACTGCAATGGGCAGGAGGGTGAGAAAGTCATGGCAGGAAATTCAGGATAGCAAAAAGCCTCAAGAACCACTTGCTGGGGTCCAAAGGCAAGAGACCCCAATAGATGAGCTAGGTAGCAGGCTGGGGCTGTGAACCTGAGAGTGCATGCAGTAGGCCAGGCTGGGGAGATTCCCGGGCTTTGGGATGGGTTAGAAGGTTTGGAGAGAACAGACAACCTCAGGGACTGGCCACTTTCATTCATCTCCCCCTTCATATGCAAATCATTAATAAGTAAGACCGAGTTTAGAAACTATAAAGGTTAGTTGCTATAGGAAAGCGCCCCGAGTCTGGTCATACCTCTGCCTGGCACAAGCAGCCTTCAGCGGCCTGGCCAGCAGGAACAAAGAAGAGGGTGAGGTGGAGGTCGGGGAAAGGGGTTGTGGCCGGTCTGTCTCACCTTAACTCAGGCTGGCCTCGCCCGGGCTAGGAGCTGGAGGGGCAGCCCAGGTTGAGGTTCATCCAGCACTGGCCCGCTGTAGCCCGCAGCCCTCGGGAAAACCCTACACGAGTGTGTCCTGGGCCTGGGGTGTTCAGCTGAGCCGAGGTGAAATGGGCAGGGCAGGCGGCCCCGCGGAACCCTGGGTCGATGGGGATTCGGAATGCCAAGGAAATGCGCTTTTGTTTGGAGGCCTGGAGCCAGTGCTCCAGCCTCCACCCCAAAATCTAGAACGATAAAAACCGAAAAGGGAGGAAGCAGGGATCAAAAGCCGACCGGGGTGCTCTCTGAGGGCTCCCTTCTTCCTCTAAAGAGCCTCTTTGCTCTTCATTTTGGAGTCTTTCTTCCACTTCATCCTGCGGTTCTGGAACCAGATCTTGATCTGTCTCTCGTTGAGACATAAGTTGTTGGCGATTTCTATGCGCCTGCGGCGAGTGAGGTAGCGGTTAAAATGGAATTCTTTCTCGAGTTCCAGGGTCTGGTAGCGCGTGTAACTGGTTCGGGACCGCTTGCCATCCGTCTCTGGAACATAAATCCCCCCAAGCCAGGAAGGGTTGAATACTGAGCAACACTCAGCGTCCCACCCCAGTCGCAGTTTCCCACCCGTGGTCGGAGGGGGTGGAGGTGAGCGCGGTGGGACAGGCCAGAAGGGCCTTAGGCGGACAGGCCCAACCTCGGGAGAAGCGCCTCCGCCTGGGCAGTAAACTTTCCACCGCAGCCTTCACTCTGCGGCCGGAGGGGCTGAGGGGGGGTGGGGGGAAGAGGGAGACCCAGGCTCGGACCGAACAATAAACACCCTCGAGATCCGAGCACCGGGGACCCCCCTCCCGCCCCTCCCGAGTCGCTGGAATCCTCCGGAGCAGCGAGCACCGGCCGGCCGGGCTCCGCAGGGGAGGGAGGGAGCCCGCGGGGGGATCCCCACTCTGAAGCCCCGTGCTCCTCACCCTTTGGATCCCTCTATTTTTTTAACTCCCTCCCTCTCCCCCAAAAATTGAATATTGCCTTTTATACACGTTTTGTTCCTATGATCCAATTATGTCGTCGTAAATTTGGGCGCACACAGCCTCTAAGCCTTTTAGTGGACAGTTTTACGAGCCATTGATGCCTGAATCGTAAAATTTATGGCCGCAGGTTTTTTTTCTTTATTTGCCCCGCATGGCCTATAAAACCCAGGCGAACCCGAGCGCGCAAAATGAAGTCCTAAAGTTTACCGTGGCTCATGTGCAGTTTGGTCATCCACGGGTAAATCTGTGGCGGGGCCGGTGGCTGGCTCAGTCCGGAGGGTTGCCCTGTCTGCGCCTGCTCCTCTTTGATCTCCCCACTGCTCTTAGCTCGCTCCTCCAGCGCCGGGCGAGCCGCCTTCTGACTGTACATCCCGGGGTTCAGAGGAGCCGCTTCGTCTCTGCCCAGAGCGTGTCCCGGAGCGGCCGCGGCGCTGCAGGCGGGGCGGTCGGGGTGAGCCCGGGGGTTGGCAGCCATGTCTACCCCGTGGAGAGAGTTGGAAGGCGCAGGCGGTGGGAAAGTGATGCTTAAGTCCAATCCGCCGTAGCAGTACCTGGATGCCTGCACCTCTGAGGCCGATCCATAGTTCCCACAAGTTTGCATGTTATAGGCAGGGATATTGGGGCTCTGCTTATAGAATGAATTGGCTACGTAGGAGCTCATGGCGGGGAGGGCCCAAAAAAATTTCTGCACCCTTTTTGATTAAGGGTGATTTGTGACTCTTTGAAGTTGAGGGGTTTTTTGTTCTCCAAAGTGCACAATTTATAGGTGGAGATATCTCTTTCTTTATCCTATGCGCTCTTCCCAAATAAGGGAGCCTTAAATAGAGTCACGTGACTGGAGCGGCCACTCATAAATTTGGCTTGATGACCTCCGGGAGGTTAGTGATGGAAGCGGGCGAAACGCATCTTGATATGTTGGCAAAGCCCAACCCGGGTGTGTGTGTGTGGGGGGGGGTGGAGAGTGAGAGAGAAAGGGAAGCAAGGGGGAGAAAAAAAATGGTGCTTGGAATTGGGGGTGGTCGGGACAACGAGCTCACAGCGACACCTGGTGCTTACTTGGAGGAATTGCATCCTGAAGCTTCTCTTGGCAGCTGGATTGTAGAGAAGTTGCTTGTTGGACAAACTAACCCTTGAGCTGGCCTTAAAATTTTGCCTAAATTTGAGAAAAGATGAGGCCTTATTTAGGATTTACACAGGTGGTTTTTATAATGGATAGTGCCAGTTCCCTGCCCCCAGAGACTTCCAAACTGCAAAGATGACTGAGAAAGGGGGTTGGGGTAGCTAAAGTCTAGGCTAGAGAACCAAGAGGGTGTACTTAGGTTCCCTACACTAAAGATCCAGAGCTCTCGCTTGGGAGGGCTGGGCTAAGCTCTGCTGAATAGGAGTTTGTCTTCTCAGCTTGGAAAAATGAACTCAGCCTCTGGGAGGTAGGCAGGATACCCAAGAGGAGGGAGGGCTCCTGAGTGAGCAGAAGCTGCCAGAGAAGTTCTGAGGCTGAGGGTCTTGAGGACTCTCTGGGATATGACCAGAGGGGCTAGATGGACTTGGGTTGACTTCACTAAGTTAGGAACCCTATAGGGGTAAGAGGTACCATTTACATGTGTGTAAGCAGACACAGTGGGCTGGAGGACCCTCCTACAGCTGCGATCCTTGTGGGTACTGATGCCCAGAATTTCAGACAGCAAACAGATGACCCTCTAGGGCCTGGAGAGCATGAGTCAAACCGCTACAAATATTACCAGCAAGGCACAGATAATGACCTGCTTGTAATCTTTTAAGGGTAGGCCCTTAGACCAGGTTTCTCAGCAACCTCAATTTAGAAGGTCCCTAGAAATTTTCTGGACTCTTCAGAGGCACAGGGTGGGCAGTCCAGGCGACTGGGCAACCTAGACAGTCTTTGGCCAGGGTTTTTTCAGTCTTTGGTTCCTTTCCCCTGCTCTCTTAATCCCAAATCTTGCTCTTTGCTGTCTGCCTTTCCCCAGAAGCTCTCTGGCTCAGCCAGAAGTGCCCCTCCCCGCTGGTGGAGGCTGGGTGAGGGCGGTGGCAGGGACGTGGAGAGTCTGCAAAACTCAGGAGGACTTTTTCCCCCTCAGGGAGACCTCCCACCCCCACCTCTCCCTTTAGGCTCACTCAGATGTCTCTGGCGAGGCTTGGGGAAAGAAGGCTGGAGTCTAGAAACAGTTAGGGTCCTGCTGCCACCCCCTCCCCCCCCACATTAGATTTGAGGAGAAAAGAAGCAAGAACAAGATAGGCAAGGGCTGGAATGAAGAAGGAATTTTGTCTGGCGGGTCAGGAGTTCCAGCATAGGCCAGAACTCAGTTTCCAGTCTTTCTCTTTCGAGATGTCTTTGGATCAGTGTTCAGTCCCTGCGGACTGACTCCAATACCGCAGTCCTTGGTTGCCAGGGCGCTTCAGCCACGTTTTGCAACAGCCGGCCTGGCCTGGCGGGCTGGGGGGCTTGCTTGCAGGTCCTCCTTCTGAGGCTGCTCTCAGGCGGGATGGAGGGGGCGCGACCTGGTGCTCGGATCAGGCTCCTTTTCTCGCCTTTTGGGCTCAGGGCTCAGAAGCCGAGGATTCCAGGCTCCTACAGGCGGGAAGAAAGGCCCGCGTGGGGCTTGCAGCCCAACCGGCTTACTCAGGCTTCCCCGCCCCCAGCGAAAGTCCAAGAGGCCCTTTTTCCTCCTTTTCTTTTCCGGGGTGTGTGTTGCTCCTCGTAGGGGAGGTCCCAGAGGCCTCTCAGCACCCCAGCACAGCCAGGAGAACCCAGAGACCGAGGCTCGGCGCCTGGCTGCGGGGCAGGCGAGTGTGGAGGGCTGGCGGCCACGGGGAGCTCTGCTGCAGGCCCGCGGGCGGGTGAATGAACAGACAGGCGGATTATAAACTTTTAAAAATAATATCAGTTTTATTAAATATTCGAGAACGGATCCAGAGGTCGGATTTATACAGAAGGATAACACGAGGGGGTTTCTTTCTTTCTTTCTTTCTTTCTTTCTTTCTTTCTTTCTTTCGTTCTTTCTTTTCTCCTACTGGCTAAACAAACGTCATTCACTTTTTTTCTCTTTTTGCTATTTTCCCTCTTTTTTTAATCCTTTTAAAAATGAAATCGGAACACTGACGGTACTAAACATAAATATAAATACAGAGACCACAAATACAGCTAGAAATATTCACACAGAAACGGTCACAGTTCGTAATATGCCATAATGACCCCCCAGGAATCTTTAAATACAATTTGCCTGGACTGGGCATTTGCTGGGGCAGAGGGGCTGTGCAGGAACTGGGGAGAAGCCCGGGGTGAAGGTGGGGGATGTTGTAGGGCCAAGGCGCGCCCTCCTGAGGCCTCCCGCCCTCCGGCTGCCAGGCCGGGCCCTGAGGCCCTGGAGTGGAGGCCCCAGGCCTAGGAGCCGGCTATCTGCGCGGGGGCGAGAGTTCAGGGCCTCGAGGTGGGGAGAGAGCCTAGGGCTCAATTGGAGGGACGTCAGTAGAGTCTGAAGCGTGGTTCAGGGACCGTGTCCCCAAGGCCTGGGCAAGGGAAGGGGCCTGCAGATAAGCCGAGAAGGAGCTAGCGAGGGGAGCTAGAGGAGGAGGCCTGTGAAGAGTTGTGCAGTGCGGGAGGGGGTCCAGAGCTGACTTGCAGGTCCACGTCTGACTCCCTATTTTTTTTAGGAAGTCACAACACATCAATTGTGCCAGTGATAAATACAGAGTATGTGACTCGGGGAGCTGGGAGGAGCAAGGGAGGAGAGAGGGGTGCAGGGTCCTGGTCACTCTTTCTGCTTCTCCTCTTCTGTGTCCTCCCGCTTTTCCTCTTTCCCGCCCAGGCTGTCGGCGGCTGCCCCTCCGCCGCCCCCCGAAAGCGTGGATGTGAGATTAGATTCTTTTTTCCACTTCATCCGGCGGTTCTGGAACCAGATTTTGATCTGTCGCTCGGTCAGACACAGAGCATTGGCGATCTCGATGCGCCGGCGCCGGGTTAGGTAGCGGTTGAAATGAAATTCCTTCTCCAGTTCCAGGGTCTGGTACCGGGAGTAGATCTGGCGGCCGCGCCTCCGGTCTGCTCCGTAACCGACCCCTAGAGATCCGGGCACAAAACACACTAGAAACAATCAACAAGGCCTCCTCTGAAGACATTTTCGCCTAGCAAAGTCCAGACTCTCTCTACTTGACCCACAACTCGCGGGTTTTTCGAGCTCTAGCCTTCCCCCTTTTACTCTGCCCCACCCCCACTGGGGGTACAGCCAGGACCCCAACTTCATTCAGTCTTCCCACGAGGTGGGAGATGTGTATCCCAAAGAAAGCTGGGGGGCGGGGCTGCATGTCTAAAAGCTGAGTTTTCTTTTTCTTTTTTCTTTTTTTTTAAATTTCTATTTTTTTTCTAATTCCAACTACTGGGGATAAGGGCCCCATCTATCAAGGACTGGGTTTCCCCCCCACCTTCCCCAAAATACTGGTTCCCTGAAAAGTTCTCCCCACTTCTCTGCCCTCTCCTAACTCCCCCCTTTCCCTCCAACCTAAAGAGACTTTGGGGGGTTTTCTCACCCTCTGTCACCTCCCCTCATCCCTGCCCTGTTCCTGCCCCCTCAGCTCTTCTTGGAGCCTTCCAATCCGTCAGGGACCGAGGGGGCCAGGCCCCTGCGAGCCAGAGCGGAGGTGAGCAGAGGGGGCTGAAGAGGGGGCCCTGTCTCGGTGTCGGCGAGGAGACGAGCGTGATTGTTTTTATGGGGCCATAAAAAACTCTCTCCGCCCGTTCTTCTAGGGAAGCCGGTCATAAAGCCAGTTCAGTTTATTTAATTTATATCTCGGAGCTGTAAAACTCACCACTGTGCGAATTCATTCGCTGCATCCAGGGGTAAATCTGGATACTGGCTTTCTGGTCCTGGGGCGCAGTCCTGCCCTGCTCAGAACTAAAATCCTGAGCCATTGAGGTCTGTGTGTTATGTCCTAAGGTGTTTTGTCTGCAGTTTGAGAGCATGTCTTTCTCCTGGTAAAAGGAATTAGATCCATAGTCATACGGCCCCCGGCTGGAACTGAACACGACATTCTCCTGTGGCGAATAGAAGGGAGTCGAGTAGATCCGGTTCTGAGCTACAGCTGCTCCATAGGTCGAGAAATGCCTCACTGGATCATAGGCGGTGGAATTGAGGGCGACGTTGGGGAGGACGTCCTGGCCCCCGGCGAGGTGGCAAGATAAGGAAGGGTTAGTGAAGTAGGAATTCATCCCTTTGCCTTTACCTGGTCGGGCTATGATTTCTTTAATATTTATTTCTGTCTCCAGTTTGTACTCGGAACTAGATGGTTATAGGGACGGCTCCAATCCAGGACAGACAAAATGACAAAGTCAGCTGACCCCCTTCTAGCCAATCGCAAGCAAGATGTCAAGAAGGGGGAAAAAAATCGCTTCTGCTTCTGTTGATTCCCTAGTTGAGACTAAGTGTGTGCTTTGAAAGTAAGACTTGGATTTCCTTTAAGAATATATATGTAAGGGAACTGGTGTTGGTGGGGTGCAGGTCCGTGAGCAGGGCCCCTACCCTGCTGCGAAAGGAAATCTCTGCCCCAGCTAACTTTATTGTGCTCTGGCCAAATGCAGATCGAGAGAAATCTTTGTGTTTTCAGTTCGATTTCATCTTTTGCATTTGCCCCTTTTCTAACATTACATCCTGGTTGCTTCATCTGAGGAGATCCTTCGCACTGGGAGGAAGTCCTCAGAAATTCTACAAGACATTCTAGCTTGCCACTCATGAAGTGAGCCCCATCACTAGACAGCATATTTTTCCAATAATTAAAAAAATTAAAAGGAAAGGGAGATTTCCTGAAACATGGCGCACAGAGGAAGACAGTGTCTCTGAGTCTTGGGTTAGAGGATATGTCCATCTGAAGGGTGACAAGTTGATCCGAAGGGTGAGACCATGGGGTATAGTGGGGTCCTGAAGTAAGTAGCTACTCTTTTCTGCCTCCCAGCCTACTGCTCCTCCCCAGGTCCCTTTTTGGGGAAACTCCTGCAACATTTTTACTTAAAAGAAAACATGTATAACAATACATACACACACACAGAGACACACACACACACACACAGAGAGAGAGAGAGAGAGAGAGAGAGACTCTGAGATTCTTTCTAAAGACATCAACTCCTGTTTATGTTGGTGAAATTTATGATTTGAAACAAGCTCAGGCCAGTGGGGTAGTTCACATACTATGCAGCCTGAATGAGGAAGGGACTGCCATGAACAGTTAGTTATCTTCCAGCAGGCTCAAGCCACTGCCCAGGTCACAAGACCCTATCTGCTCTGGATTCAGGAATGGAGCCCTGGACCTGAGCTGTAAGGCTAGATAGAAGACCCTGGGAAAGGACTCCTGGGGAACTTGGGTTCTCACCCAGCCAGTCACCTCTAGGTGCTCAGAAGCCCTTACCTCCATTTTCCTCCCCACCTTGAGGCTGAGCAAAGGGAGGAGATTAGAACAGAGCAGTTTGTAGGGCTTCAGGGAGCTGCAGTAAAGAGAACCAAAACAGCAGAAGGTGTGCAGCTGGGGTTTCCCTCTGGTTAATCCAAACTGAATTTGATATCGACATAGGCTGGAAATACTTGGAGCTGACAAAGGGAGGCTGGCAAGACACAGGAAGGAAGCAGCGAAAACTCACGTTTTCCCCCTCACTATTTTTTTTTTGTTGTTCTATAACAAGAACCCGGATGTCGCTGGGTTTTATGATCTTTTCCTTCTGTGTAACAAAGCGGAGTAATCAATGGGCAGCAATAAAGCCATAAACGGGACTACGCTGGGGAAAAAACTCGTTTCTTCATCTTCTGTAATGTTAAGGTTTCCCTGGAGTGTCACGAGGTTGGGGGGGGATAAAGTTTAGAACCCCAAAGCAGACAGTGTGTAGGAACTAGTGCAGACAAAATGTTAGTTAATACATGAAACTCTTTAGGGAGTTGAGAAGTCTTCCTGCCAGACAATTGTGTTGGCTTTTTAAAAATCCAGCCCTGCCTTTGGAAAGGAGAGAAACTGCTGGAACTTAGGGGAGCAGAGGAAAAAGCCCTGTAATTATGAAAGTTTCTATCCCTTGGACTATACTATTTTCTTTCCAAGATGAAGAAGGCAGAGGAGGAGGCAGAAAGGGATTTTAAAAGTTATCTCATCTGGGGGTAGCATAGCAGTTGCTCCCCCAACACAGACAGTAGTGTGCTGCTTTTAGCTCTCCAATTCATCTGTACTTGAATTCATGGCATGTCTGGGCAGAGGTTTCCAACAGCTGGCTGAGTCTCCAGCCCCCCTGGAGGGCAAGAGGCAGGGAAAGAGCTAACTGAGGGGCTTAGCTAGGGAGCAAGTCAGTGCACTCCTGGACACCAGTAGCCTCTTTTCAAAGTTCCCAGCGTCCTGTCTGCCCCGAGGGTAGCGGTGTAGCAAGTAGAAGCCACAGCAAGAAAGAGTAAATTTCCCCCCTATTTCAGAATGAGATTGCGAGAGGAATAAATCATGTCAGTGGTACTTCCTTCAAGATATTAAATTGTTGCAATGTAAAACAAATTGAATGATGGAAGATAGGATGTCTTAATGAAGTTTTGTTTTCCATAAGTGTGGATTTTTGTGTATTTTTAAATCTCTTTTATGGATGAGTTGGGGGAGGGAGTGACCTTAAAAGAAAGAAGGGACTTTGAGGGAAACACTGCTACAGTCCCCTAACAAGGATGCCTGAGTTTCCTAGAGCCCCCTCAATCATATCCAGAGATGAAAGGGGCCCCAAAGTTGGGGAGATTCTCTTTTGGGGCCTAAAGGTGGTAGGCTCAGGGGTGGGCGACCCGAGGAGCAGAGTGTAAAGTCTCAGGCCCGGAAAAGTTAAGTGTTTTATTACGTCCCAAAACAGAGGCAGAGACTGAAAGGTCTCGCCGATTTAAAATGAACAGAAACCAGCTGCCTGGGGCGGGGGTGGGGGACAGAAATGCTGGAAAGGGGAGACCAGGGAAGGCAGAAATCAAATATCTTCCCATTATCTAAAGACTTTGGGGGTAAATTAACTCCCAAGACACTCTCCTGCATTCCTTTCTATTCCTAAAGGAGGAAAAGATACCATTTCTTTTAGTTAGACCTTTAATCATGCTGCTGAAATTTACTCGGAGGATTCTCTACAAGGGGGTGAGCAGATCAGATGAGTTGATCTTCCCTCCACTGGGTAATAGTTTTTCCTTCTCATCTTGTGCTCTCTCCTCCCTTTGCGGAAGACTGGCTGGCTATGGGGGAGGGGCCGGAGTTTGAGTTTTTCTAAATATATTTATATTTTCCTGTTAAATTTGTCTGAAAATAATTATGGAAGCTCATCAGCAGAAGCAAGAACAGATGTTTTATTAAAACTGCAGTGCAGCTCTGTAAATATGCACAAGTCTTGGGAAGCAGAGAGATTCCCATTCTTTGTTTCCATCAAAACACAAGCTTAGAGAATCAGAACAGCCCCCCATTAGGCCCGTCTGCCCGCCTGCCCGGTCTATGCCCTACCATCCGTGGGCTTTCGACTTTCTGAATTAGGCATTAAGAAGAGACTTGGTGTCAAGAGCAGATTTTCGCTTTGGGAGCAGTAATTACGGGATTTAAAAACAACATTAAAAATCTTAGAAAAGGAATAAAGGGGGAAAAGTTGCCACTGGCCACTCCAGCCGCCCACCCCCATTAGAAATGTGCTTTCCAGGAGTACTAATTATAGGAGAGGAATTTACTGCCTGCTTCTTGGGCCTGAGTGGGTGTAGTCACTGACCTGGAGGCTGAGGGCTGCACGTTAGGGGTTTCCCCGGATTTCAGTCTTTCAGGAGTCTAAGCCAGGAGAAAGGTAGGGGGTCCCTATGGCTGTGAACTGAGAAAAAAGGGAGGGGAGACTGGGACTCATTTCTAAAATGATGTTATGGGCAGTCCTCATCTTGCCTGCCTCTGCTTTCTTCTCTGCTCTGGCAAATAAAGTCATTTAAGATGAGCCTGGTGAGATCTGGAATTTTTATTCGGGGATATTCTTCGGCAGAATGTCCTCCTTTGTGTTCTGCAGGTCTCCTCTCTCCCTAGATCTTCTCCACCTCTGCAAAGACGTCTGTGACTGTCTCTAGCACTGACCTACTCCATTTCTGGCCTCCGAGCCTAACTACGTGTAGCTCACTCCAACGCGGTAGTGGGAACCGCGGGACTCCAAGCTCCCTCGCCTGCCTGGGCTCTTGGAAGCCTAAAAGATACCGCAGCTGCAGGACACTGCCCCTCCACCACCTCCAGTTCTTGATTTCCAGCGACACAGAATGGTTACCCTCCTCGGCCCCTTTTGTGCCACTGGGAGCGAGCTGAAATCCCTCTTGCAGAGAAAGCTGAGTTCAATAATTGTTCAGCTCACCTCACAATCGCACTATTTGGTTAAGGCTTTGTTGTTCTAGAGTTCAGCTAGCTCTACAGGCTTATAGCTAAATTAAAAAAAAAAAACTTAAAAAAAAACCCTATTCCAAATGTCTGGTGTTTTGTGAACAAGCCCCTTTGATCTCTGTGGACCTCGGAGGAAAAGAATTGCAAAGAACGCTGCAGGCCGCCAAAGAACCTGAACGGAGGTCTGTTCTGCTTGGGAATGCCAAACAGGGCTCACCCAAAGGGCTCCCAGTTTTTTCTAGAGGTGTTAAGGAAAGATTTCCTAACGCACACACCCTCTGTACATACTGTGCATTCCAAAAAAGAATGCTGCTTTCAAAAGTCAAGCTTAGACACACTGGGAGAAAAGTGAAAATTGACACACCCAACGCAGAGACAGATTCAGTTGTAGGAACTTGATCTTTGGTGACAAGGCTTGAGCTCACCAGCTGAAGGAAGTTGGGGTGTCCTTGGTGTGTAAGGAGGGAAGGAGAAAAGGACCAGAAGGGTCAGCTCTGAAAACTTGCCCAAATAACTCTAGGGCCTGTGCTGTGGTTCAGCCGCCTTTTGAACTAAGAAGAGGTTCTGAGCCTTCTAGAGCTGCTGTGTCTTTACCGCAGTAAGCACAGGAGAAAGGAACACAGAGCAGCCCTGCTAACTGATGGCCTGTTTTCTCTCCCTTCCTAACTTACACTCCAGTTACCCTATGCTACTGCTACTGCCATCAGCAGACACAAAACCCACTTTTCCATGTCTGGCTTCTCCAACACTGACTTAAAGTTCAAAAGTAAAAGAGATCCCATCACACTGAGACCCCTTCAGGCTTCCTCTGAATAAAATAATTTCTGACTTTTAGAGACCAGGCCCTCAAGTCTCCCACCTTGATACCAAAGCAGCAGAAATATGAGCTGAGGAGAGGATTTGTGAAAAGCATCTCATCCCTACTGAGAGTTCAGCTGCCTTGGAACTGTTCAGGAGAGCAAAGCAGTACTTGGCCTGGAAATAAAAATCACGACCCAGAATACTGAGGGTACTTTGCATTACCCAAATAGAGCCTCGGGAGGCTGCCAGGTGAGGAAGCACAGACAATGAGGAATGTACTATTCTATGCTAGTCCAAAGGAGTCTCAGCTCTCTGGTTCCTCCTCAGCCTTTGAATGTAGACCATTACTTGGGAATGTTTTGGAGGTTAATGAGAACTTAAAACTGGAGAACTTGGCATTTATGATATCACAGTGAGTTGCCATATGGAAACTATGTAAATCATAAAAGTATGGCAAGAGTTGTATATATGAGTATGAAGCCCCCTCTTACCCACCCCGTTTCTTCTCCTGGCCTAACTTCTCCCACTTGGAAATAAAATGTTATTATGTTCTAGAACAATAAGCCAACAATGAAACCTCATCGTCATTTCTCTATAAATAAGCTTATCTTCTATTGTCAGCAGATCTGAAAGAGGCATTTAATTCATCCTGGTGAAAGGAGAGAGAGATGGGGAGAGAAGATCGTTTCAGGAAAAAAGAATATTACTGTAGTGATACTATTTTAGAGTTGATAGCCAGGAGCAAAATTAAAGACAAACATCGACCCTTCTGACTCTACACCTGACATGACTGGGGATTTATAGGACCCTTACAAAAGGGGAAATTTAATTTTTGTAGGATTTGCATAAATTCACTGATATTTTGGAGGGCTGAGGAGAGGGGTAGGCAACAAGCTTTATCTAGTTTTATGATTCTACTAACGTTACCCTGACTGAAAATCCAACCACATATGTCTGAGAGAAGCTCAGGCAGAAAGGAATGGAGGAACCAGGAGGAGGAGGGCAGAGGAGCTAGAATGAGCTCAGGGTCTGTGACCCCTTTCCAAGTTACCAAGGTGAAGGAAGAAAAGCTGCCACAGGAAAGAGAAGGAAGGTTTGGAAATCTCCCCAACACCAGGACACCCGGGGGTTTATGGTGTCTCCATAATTCCCCTGTCCCATAAACTGTGGCAGTTTTTAGAACAATTTCTGCTCCCTCCCTTTGGAAGGGGAAAATGAGGGAGCGCATAAGGGCGGGAGAGAGGGGTGTTGAAAGGGGGAGGGAGTTTGAAAGAGCCCTGCACTTTGTTCTCCCTAGCGAATTTGCTGGTTTGGCAGGTCTCTGACGCAGGGTGGCAGCAGACAAAACAAGTAAACAAGGCACAGACACAATAAACAGGGCGTCCGGCAGCATTGGCACAGGCTGTGGAATACTGAAGGGGCAAGATTCTGGGTTAATGTCACCCCAAAGTTGGTGTGACCAGAGTAGGAAGGCCTGAGGGAGAAGCTTGGAAGAAAGGCTGTGAGCTCCTGGTGCCACAAGTCTGGGCAGGAGATTCTCTGGAGGAACCTAAGAGCCCTGGGAGCACCACAAAGGCCACCCAGCCCTGCTCCTGCCCTCGCCTTTGTTCACATGGCTTTCCACTGACATTCGTATTTCCTTTCGGTTCTGTCTGTCCTGGAAAAGCTGCAAAAGGGGCCAATTATTTCCCAACAGTGGCCCATACTCAGGGCTCCAGGCCCACAGGCCTTGTATTCTAGAGGGGCCTCTACCAACCTTCTCTCCTAGTGGGCCTCTCTGGTTAAGGTCACTGAAAAGATTAAAATGTACCCCCATCAGTCTCCAGATCTGGGACCTTCCAGACAGTCAAATCTGGCATGAGGAAATGAGCCAGGGAGGCAAAGGGTGGGGGGAGCTATTCACAAGCACCCTTGCCCCTCCAGGTTTACCTCCTCCACAAGCTCTTTCAATCACCTTGGACTGCAGCCACCCAGACCCCTACCCAGAAATCATCTTAGCCACTATAATCCCTTTGCCATCCATCCCTATGAAGGTTTTCAGTCTCCAGGCCCAGTCCTGGCTGCTCAGAATCAGAATTGCTCACAGCCTCACAACAGCTATGAAAGAGTCCAAAGACTTCACTTTCAAGATGACTGGGTTCTCTCCTTGGAAGACAGCCTGTGAGTTGGCAGACTTCTTAGGGAGATAAAGAGAGACAGCAGAAGGATGTAGTATTTCTCAGGCCAGAGACTGGATAGCAAAAGCAATAAGCCAAAGCCCTTGTGGCTTCTTTGGATTTTTGCAAGCCACATACTCTGATTCCAACACACATTTCCACCAGAGATGCCCAGAGGGCCTCCTCCTTGTGCCCATCTCTCTCCTAGCCCAAGCCTTCTCAGCCAACAAAATTCTGCATGCACATAAACATGGTGTTGAACAAATATAGACATGGTAATATATAGTTAAAAGCACAAGAAAATATGAGTCTCTTTATATTCCTCCCAGAATCTGAAATGGTATATTTGAGACTATATAATAAATATATAATTCCACCAAGCCTGGTTTCACAACACAACAGCCAGTTCAGCAAGGTTGCCTTCTCCAACCAAGGTCAAATTCTGTAGGGATCACAACTGTCAGAAAGAGAGGAGAAAGCGTTTGTTCTGCTCCTTTCTGCTAGGAACCTGGCAGGAAACACAAGGGATGGCAGGGCTTACAAAGCCTCTTAAGGGGCAGATCTGAGTGTGCCCAAAAAGTGAGCTCAGAGGGACTGCTGCTAGGTCCCAGGCTCTTGGGAGGTTGCCAAGCCTTGATCCACATTATCCAGTGACTGCCTAGCCCCAGCTTTGAGTGTGCAGAGTCCTTGAGCAAAATTCTATTCCTAGTTCCCTGCCTATTATTAGATAATCAAAGGAGCTCTCCTAAAGTGAGGAACCACATTCACACAGAATTTGGCATGCAAGGAGGTTAAGGATCGCCACTGGTGCCTCTCTTGAGTTTCTGCCGGAATGCCAGAAAAAGAAAGAACCAAGGAGCAGAAAAACGAAAGTAACTGGCGAGCATAGTGCTGTGTTGAGGTCTGATTTATTCCTTGGCCAGGTCGGAAAACTTGAAAACCAGGACCAGTCACTGGCTTCTCCACCTGCCAAGGGAGGGGGCTAGGGGTGAAGGGTATAGGAAGGGCGAGGGGAGGAAGGCTACAGGGCTGTAGCCAAGAAGGAACAGGAAATCAATAAAAATATAAAAACACCTCAAGCTGGTGTTTTTAACGGGAACTCTCGCACCCTAGCACCTCGATATGGCTATTAGCACATCCAGCTAGGTTCCCTGTAGGCCTGGAGAAATATCCCAGCCTAGCCCAGGCCCGCCCCTCTGATGGGAGGGGGCCTCTAACATCCCAGGTGAAGGAATCCACTCTGGCCTAACAGCCTTCTCCCAAAACGGTTTTCTTCTGGGGTGGAACAAAGGAGACTTGTGCCCCTGAACATTCCCTCCCACGTCATTGCGGCCATTAGCAGGGACAAGGTCCGACAAAAATACAGGCAGAAGAGAGAAATAGCGGCCTCACCGATCGGCGGTTCCCACTGTACGCCAGGAAAAAGGCTCACGTTCCGGCCTCCAGGGCCCCTCCACTGTCTCAACGCACGCCCCTGGCCCTTTTCAGGTCCCACAGATTCCCGTTCTTGTCAGCCCTAGCCTGGTTCCCCCGGGCATCCGCCTCGGGGCCAGGCTCAAGCGGCAGCAGAGTGCGCGGCAGCGGCAGCGGAGCAGGCGGCAGGCTGCGCCCATTTGGGGAGAGCCTAGCGCTTTTCTTGGTCGTAAACAAGGAACGCGAAATTAGCCCCTCGGCAGACGCCTCTGCCGACACACCAGTCCTGTTGGGGGGTGGGGTGGGAAAGGGGAGAGAAAATGCCATGTCTTCCCCCGGGAGAATACCTCAGAGGCCTTTATGTTGACTGCAAAGGGGAGAATTTTGGGGGGGCTGGGGAAGATAAGGTGATTGTGGGGGAAGGAGAGAGAGGATTCACTATAGGGTCAACTCAAGGGATTTGGTTTGAAAGAAGTCGAACTGTATTTTTAACAATTTGATAAAAATGGGTTCTCTACCCACTCTGCCCCACCCCACCCCACCCCCGCGCACGCAGGCGACGGGTCTGGGTTTAAACAGGAAATCGAGCTATCCCCTCCCCCACACTGCTAGGCTAAGGCTCTCTCAGTAGAGATTCTGGGGGGAAGATGAGGGGGAACTGACCCTACTGAAGGTGAGTCTGGCTCTGCGTCTGGGCCCTCGCCAGGAAAATGCCGAGTTCCCAGCTCTAAGGTGTGTCTGTTTGGGTGTGTAAGAATTTTGTGTGTTAGCCGCTCTTTATAAACACAATCTCACACTTTACAGGGTCGCCTGGGACCCAGGCCTGGGAGCAGGGCGGGGTCATATATCAAACTGCAACAGTCAGGGCCACGTACATTTGGAAGAAATTAAGCCACTGTGTTATGAAACCATATGTGTCAAGTTAAGACTATACAACACTCCATTAGCACCAATTATGAGGAAGATCCAGCATTCTCCATGCCACCTTAGTCTGACGCCCTTTCCCAGGAAACCCCACCCACCCCACCCATAAAGTGCAGGCGGGCTTGCAGCACCTTCGAGGCCCTGTGGACAAGGCCTGGTCTACACCCGCCCAACTTGAAACCTCTCTCATTCCCACCTCCACCAGGACAAGCCGGGTCCTAATCTAGAGCAGCTCGGCGGGGTGCGCAAGAAAGTTAGTGTGGCATCCCGGGTGGAGGGGGCGCAAGTGGGGGCTGAGGGCGCTGGACTAGCGGGAGGGGGTGGATAGGTCGCTTTCTTGGAGCACTAAATGGCTTTTGATCGCTGCATTCCCACCCCCACCCCTTCCAACCCCAGCGTAGGGCGCCTCCCATCCTTCTGTGCGCCAGAGTGGGGGCGGGAGCAGGGGTGGGCAGACTCTCTCCCCTTGGCTGACGCACACCAGCCACCAGCCTCCCCCCCCTAATTGTCAATTAACAGGCTCCGCCGCCCGCTTTGCTGCGCCCGCTTCCTGCTCCGCGGCCCGGCCCTGGGCTCACACTGCGCATGTGTGAGGTCTGGTTTCTAGCTCTTCGGGAAGGAGGGGGCTGCTGAACGGGGAGGGGGCGCTGGAAAGTTTGTTTGGGGTTGAGGGGTTGACGTTGCTTAGGGAGCAATGGGTCCAGCCTACAGATTCTTTCTACTCTTGAAGTTTGAACTTCCAGGCCACCACGACCCATTTCCATCAGTCAAGCTCTCTAAAGAGCAGGTATGATACTGTGGGCTGATATCAGAGGGCCCCGCGCCCCAGACTAGGATTTGAGCCCCGAGGGCCAAGATTCTCTAAACCTGGACCCCAACTTCGGCGCACAGAGAAATCAGGACAACACTTTCTCCCCAGTACCAGTTACCAGTATTTCAGCGTTACCCAGTCCCCCCATTTTCCGCCCCTTAATTACCCACGACCCCACCATCTCACCAGCCCCCACTCCTCCCTAACCAAGACCAGCCGTTGCTGTCCTCATCTTGAAACCGCCACCCAGCTCCGGACCATTAGTTACGTATTTGAACCAATAAGGAAACACTTACCGGGTGCCGCTGTCACGCTCCCTCTCTCCCTCTCTGTCTCTCTCTGTCTGTCTCTCCCACTCTCTGTCTTTCCTCATTCTGTGCCGTTGCGGAGCCTGTCTCAGCTCCAAACATACACACATATACTTTATATAAATTTAAAAAGAAAAAAGGAAAGTCCTAGTAATTAAAAAAAAGTCAAATTAAGGAGAGTTGCAGGGAAGGGGCAGGAGGGAGAGGGGAGGGGTGGAGGCGTCTTCAGCGCTGGATCTCAGCTCCCACACCCTCGTACCTCCTGCCCCTTGGGGGCCTGAGGGTCGGGTTGAGGGAGGGAGAGAGGTGTTCTCAACTCCTGCCTCTCCCCTTCCACCCCGCCCTCCCCAGGTGCCCCCAGCTTCCGGCAACTCCACCTGGAAGGAAAAAAAATAAATAGGGAAAAATAATTACTAATCAGATTAATAAAAAATATACTGGTAATGAACAGAGCGCCCAGCGCAGGTTTACCTGGCAATGGTTAGGCTCTTACAGGGAGGACTGTTCTGCGGAGCGCTCGGAACGGACAAACCACAATAAAAAGTTCACGTTCATGGATGGAATCCACATGACTTCTTGTGGCCAATCCAACTTGTGAGTCGATCGTAAACTTTTATTACTCAGCTGTAAATTTTCTGCAAACAACCGGGAATGCGATGCATTTGTGTAGCGTGTGCAAATGGGCGCCACGGTCGCCATGTTTACCCAATTCTCTCAGAAAGGGACCATCACCCAACCCCCACTCCACCCTCACCCACCGCCCACTCCCCACGGACCGGCTGCTAGACTAACACAGCAAGAGCAGATAGGGCTAGTATAGAAGGGAGAAAATAGGGCTCAGACGCTGAAGGTCGGCTGCCTCCTCTTGCTGTCTGGAATTTTAAATACTTTTCTTAATAAATGAAGGTAATAATGTTGGATCTGATGAAAATCAAAGCTTTGCAGAGGTCTGCAGCCTTGAGGCAATGAAGGCTGGGGAGATGAAGGAAATAAAAATGAATAGGGTACCTACTCCTACCTTTGTTTTCTAGAAAGAGAACACGTCTTTTCTACTGCGGTGCCCCAGGCAAGCCCCCACTCCCCACACATCAGACAAGAAACTGGAGTCTCAGGACGCTGGCAGCCCTCCCAAGCAGCCTGTAGTAGATGGTGTCTAAAAGACAGAACTGGACCAGAATTTGGCTGTCCTTTAGGCAGCAGAGGGTGACAGTTCCTGGGCAGCTTCAAGGACCCCTAAAATGACTTTCATTCCCCAGGTGGTCCCTTTCTCTGACAGAAGGACTTTCCCACCCCTCAAGACCATTTCTAGTTTCATTTCAGGTTCTCTTGTTTCCTAGTTTTTAATGGCAACTTGCAAGACTCAAAGAATTTTTTTAAAAATGTTAACGTTTAAGATTTTGGTCCAGCTTTCTTTGTTTTTCTTTTTTCTTTTTTGAGGAGCAAGGTACTTTTGAAACCATTTCACCCTCTCTGGTAGCTCAAAACACCTGTCTTTTTCAAGCAAAAAAAAATTCTCCTTCAGTATCTGGGCAGCTGAGATCTGATTTCAGAGCTCGCAGGCCCGTAAGAGAGTCATTTACTGCTTCGAATTCTGCCTTTTGCTCTAAAAGTTTATGCACCCCATTTCCCAGACCACCAATTTTGGTAGTAAGTACGGTTGGGGAGGCCAGAATAAGCTACCTCCTAGAGACTGGTTGCTAGGCTGTAGTCCGGCCACTCCCCACTGACTGGAGATCTTTCCTTGGTCGGCATTGAGCAGGCAAGGGAACCTCAAGGGCTGAGTGCTCAATCAGCCAACAAGAGACCCTTCGTCCCCTCCCCAAACTTCCCAGTGAAGCAGTTCCCTCAGCCGGATGCAGAGACCTCGTTTCTTTTACAAACCCACCCATAAACTTTATAACAGGTAGTTAAAAATCACGGCGAGGAAGCGCTGGCCCAGCTTCTCACAATGGGCAGTGGGAGAATGGGACAGCACTGCCGGGCAGCTCACCGGAAATTTTCCTTCCAGATTATGGCACATACAACCTGTCCTGAATCCTCTTTAATTGGGGCTAGGGATAACCCTCTGGGATGGCATCTCATACCATGAATATGAGACTGTGGAGGTCAACCCATGTTCTTCTTCAAGGGGTCCCTGGGAGTATCTCAGGGGCACACTAATTTCTTTGGCGCCTCAGATTTCTCCAAGACCCCCATCTCCCTTGGACGTTCAGTGAAAGAGTGGGGAGAGAAAAATGCGGTGGTATTTTTTTAATACCGAGAAACGAATTTGCCCCCCAGTTTAACAGCTGCACCATCCTGTCTTTACCGTTGAGATTAGAATAATAAATCCAAGGCGAAATGAGCGAGATGCTTCAACTCAGTGTTTGTGTTTTGAAAGATACTATTTTTCACAAATCACAAATAGCTTTCGGAAGCCACTTTGATTGGCTAATAAAAAAGTAAAAAATGGGAGAAAGTCGTATCTGCAGCAGCCGAATGGTACCCATTTCGGTAATGGGACGGCAGCAGTGACATTTAGGAGCACGCATTTCTAAAGAGCGCATCCCGCTCTTGCAATTACATTCCCCCATAAAATGGGTTTTTAACCTCCTTTTTTCCCAAAAGAGAAAGCAGAAGAGGTGGGCAGGGGAAACGGGGAGGGGTCGCTGGGGCTCCTTAGGTCTGACCCTCCTGCTGCCCGACATTTCCAGAGAAGCCGGGCGCCAGACGCACCCGCTCTCAGACGCGACACTTTAGGACCATGGACACTACTGAGCAGGCCAGGGATGAATGGGGGGGGTTGGTGTCTATGTTGGGGGGAGCTGCAAGTCCCCTCAGAGCCATTTACAAGGGGTTCATCTCGCTCTGCTTCAGGGAAGGATTTTTTTCCAATAGCAACCATCACCCCAGGATTAAAAATGAACCGGCTCTCCTTCGGTGGCCCCACAGAGTCAGATAGGAAGTGAAAGCCTGTTTTCAGGCTTCCCTGGACAATCGCCTAAGCCTCCGAAGTCAAACGGGATCAGTTAGTTGTCAGCAGGGACCCCAAATTCCACAGATCCCCCCACCTCCTACTTAAAGTTATCCCAACCTGTCCTTCCACCCCGCAGCAGCTTCTCAGCCTCTAGGAAAACCGCCTTCCAAATCTTGAACCCCTTTTATAGGAGCCAGAGATTAGTACCTGGTGAAACATTCGGCCTGGGCCTAGGTTAAAAATCACTGACCCCAGAGATCTGGTCTCAAAAATATATGTCTTTAGGGTTCTGTTTTTGAAGACCAGAAATCCTCTCTTCCCCTCTTGCTCTGGCCTGGCTGAACCAGACATCTTGTATCTCTGGAATTTGGAATGGTTTGGGCATAAACAGATTTGTCTGCCTAGGACCCTACAGAATGATCCCTTTGCTAGCTGAGTTCCTGGTACTGAATTCTTTATTTTGGAAAATGAAAAGATTCCCTTTCCCCTGCTGTGGGGGCTGTCCACCCAACAGGCCTATGCTCCCAAATCAGCGGTCCTCACTGTGGTAGCCAGGCAAGCAGCCCAATTGTAAAAGTGAAGCCAGCCAGGAGCTGGCTTGAAACAATCAGAACAGAAGCTAAGTGGACACAAGGGGGCTGAGTGGCAGTGATAGCCTTGGGTTGAATTTGAATTCCAGGATGCGGACCCTGACTGGTATACCAGCTTACTCATTTGTCCTTCCCTTCTCCTCTAAACCAGGCAGAAGCTTCCTCATTCCACACTTTGGCATTTGTCAGCCGAACTCTCCTGACTACTCAGCTACATTTAGCGTCACATACCCCTAACCCTATCCTCTCCACTATTACAATATGATGTACTGGCTGGTAAGGGGTGCTCACAAGCAAGAGAAGAACCCCACATATCACCCTTAGCCCAAACCCCTGGAAGAAAAGGCATAGTCCCAGGAGAAACATGGACCCAGCACAGAAATGAAGGGGCTCCTGTCTTCCCTCTGAAGTCCCAGCACCTATGAGCCTTCTTGTTTGGCAGTAGTATTAGCTAAGTAATCCTCCTTCCTTCTAGTAGACTTTCCTCCTTCCTTAACCCCTTAACTGCCAGTCACCTGCCCTCCTGTCTCCCAACTCTCTCCACCCCATTCCCAAGTTCCACACTCAAATTCAGATCAGGGCAGGGCCTTTTGCAGAGCTGGGGAAGGGAATAAGGAGGGAGAAGTAGGAAAAGGGGGGCTTTACAGACAAACAGCAAGTCTTTCCAGCTTCAATTTCTTCTTTCATTTTTTTATTATGACTCACTTATACAATACAAAGTACTTGGACCAGGAACAGGGCTTTCAGGACACAAAATCTACATTCATAGCTGGACATAAAGACAAATGACCAAAAATTATTATTATAGATATATTTTAACATTTTTTTCCTTTCGAGCACGTTGCATAAACAGAGAATTCAAGACAGTAACTATGCATTCAGTGCGGTTTAGTTCTACTCTACTGGGGTCAGAAGCACAATGAAAGCCACAAGACCAGCGGGCTAGGCAGTCTCAGTTGTTGGGGTTTTTCTTAGTGAAATCAGCAGCAACAGACGGCAACAAAACCGCATTACAGATGCCCTCAGAGCAGGGTTGCTTCCTACAGGTGGGGATAAAATACATTGAAGGTTTGTTTTTTTTTTCTTTTTTCTTTTTTTTTTCTGTTTTTACCTCCTTTAGTAGGATTTTTTTTCTCTTTCTCTCCCCTCCCCCAAGATTATTGCAGGTTCCCTTTAGGTAGTATATTAAAGTTTTTTATCAGCATATTGTCTTCATGATTATGGTGATTTCTGAGCACAAACACTAAGACAGCTCAGAGGAAGCTGGGCCCAAAGAACAGAAATCAATCAGCAAGGACAGGCAAGGAAGGCTTGGGCCCAAGTGACTATGGCATGGATAGGTAGGATTTTAGAGACCACTGCAGGCCCCTCTTTACCCCTCAGTAAGGGGGTGGAGAGATTCTTAGGTTCCTGGAGAAAGTCAAGGGAGTTTTCTAAGGAAGGAGCCTCAGAGAGGGAGGGACTCTTCTTTGCTATCTTTTATTTCTTTTAACAGTTTTTCCCTTTCATTCCCTTCTTCTGCTTTTTTTCTTCTTTCCTTTTCTTTCAAAAAAGAAGTTAATTCAGTACTCTGATTCCTAGCATACAAGCCAAGCAAGAACCATTTTCCACATCTTCAGGCGGATTCCCTTTAAAATAAATACCAGAGAAGCACTGAGTGGAAGGGTGGGGAGAAGTGGGTGTGTGAGAAGGCTTAGACCTTAAAGTTCAGGAAGGGCTCAGAAGCTGGAAGCCAGGACAAGTGAGTGTGAGCTGAGCATGAAGTGGAGCAGAACTTTTCCTTGTGTCTAGGTCTCCCCCCCCCCCCAAACAGATAAGGAGCAGGGGAAGTCCAAAGGTAATAAAAGCAGAACTGCACGTATCTGACAGGTAGTTAGAGCAGTGAGTGCCATTCTATTCTCTATAAAAGCAAATGACAGTCGTAAACTTCTCAATTTATCTGCTACCATAAAACGAAACTTCAAGGGAGTGGGGGGGGATTTTCTCTCTCTTTTTTCCTAGTCCTTATTTTCTTCTTTTTCCTCTTCTTCTTTTTCCTCTTCCTCATTCCCTTCTTCCTCCACCTTCTCCTCATCTCGGGCCCCAGGCAGCTTGTCCTTGTTGTTCTCCTTTTTCCACTTCATCCTTCGATTCTGGAACCATATCTTCACTTGTCTTTCGGTCAGTCCCAGGGCGTGAGAGACTTCAATCCGGCGCTTTCGTGTCAAGTAAGGATTAAAGAGAAACTCCTTCTCTAGTTCCAAGGTCTGGTACCGGCTGTAAGTTTGTCGTCCACTGCGCCGCCCAGGAGCTGGACAGAACAGAACCCCACTCTGGTTATATCTGGTTTGGGGGTGCTCCATTCCCCCCAACTACTCTGCTTCCCACAAAGCTCCCCCTTCTTCTCAGTTTTTCCTCCAGCCAGTGAGGCTGCCAGCAGAAGACAAGCAAGGGCAGGAAAAGTTTCCACACATGTTATGGTTTGATTTTCTTCACCTTAGGAGGTGGGTGAAGGTGAGGGGCAGGGAGGTAGCTGTCTGAAAAGTAGGGGCTTGTGGGGGACAAGGGAACCTTGCAGGGTCCTTCAGGCCTCCAGCCTGGCCCTTACAGCTTTGTTTACAAGTACAGAGTGGCATTTAGTAAGCCGGCCTAGGGACACAATCTGCTTCCAAGGAAAAGGAAAAGGGCTGGGGTTAGAGGAGAGGGGTTTCTGTCCACTGCCCCCGCCTCGCCTATCTCTGCCTAATGCTTTTCCAATAAGAGAAATAATTGATCTCCTGGAATGTAACGCAGCTCTGCCTGATTGCTAACTGGAGACCAACAAATAAATCAAGGGCCATCCCTGCCGGAACTGTTGTTTTTGCTTCCCCCTGTACTTCGAAATTGAGCCATGAAGGGCCACCCTTAGAGGGGCTCATAATCTTTGAGCAGCTTTCCAAGAAACCCCATAGATCTTGACTGGGGGGTAAACTGACTAGCCCCTGGCCCCAGAAGCCCCTACTTTGTATAGCACTAGTCCCTGGACCCCAGAAGCCCTACTTTGTGTAGCCCCTCTCTCTTCTGGAGCATTGATTTTCTGCTCAGGCATTCAGTCTTCTCTCCAACAGGAGGAAGTAAAAAAAAAAAGGTTGGGGTAATGGCCTTCAGGCTGCTTCTCTGAGAGGAAGAAGTGGAGACCCCAAAGAGTCAGAGTGCCTGCCCTTAGGTTCTTGCCCCTCTCTCTGGCCAGAGGGAGACAGTAAAGGGTCTTCCTTTCACCCAATGTCTGGCCACTGTCTTGGAATGGCTGTCTTTCTGTCTTTGGGAAAACTGGCTACCACCCCCAAAGGCTAATAACCCTAGTTTACTCTGGGTGTTCTTGTCAGCCACCTCCCCAACTTTGACTTTAGAGATGGGGAGAGGGAGAGAGAGAAGGAATGGAGGAAATGTTTTTTAGCCCCTTTGCACCCACATATCACCTTTCCCCCACCTTCACCCCAACACTCACAATATCTCAGGTGCCCCCCCCAGCCAAACCTCCAGGAACCCACCCAGGCACTGGATCGGAGTGGAAGAGACCCCCAAAGCCAGGAAGGAAAGCAAGGGCAGACAAAAAGGAGGCGAGGGAGGGGGAAGACCCCGGAGCGCGGGAGACCAAGGGGAAAGAGAAAAGGCTTCTCACCGTGGGGTCTCATCCATGGAAACATGAGGCTGGGAGACGAGTTCTGATTTAAGTGGCCTTGTCCTTCGCTACTGTTAGTGTTGGCGGAGGATTTACAGTCGGGATATTGCACCACGCTCGCCTCTTGCTGAGCCCCATAAAGGGACTGTCTGGGGAGCGCCTCGTAGCCATAGAATTTGGAGGCGTCTCCGTGGCAGCTCAACGAGCACGGGTTCTGCTGGTAGCCTGAGTTGGAAATGCCGGAGGTGCCGTGGTGGAAGAAGTCTTGGACATGGTGCGAGGCATGCTGGAAGCCGGGCGCCGAGCCTCCGGGCCCGTACACCAGCGCATGGCTCCTGCCCACGCTCTGAGGGAACCGGCAGTCGTAATAGGCCGGTTCCAAGGACTCGCCGCCTTTGTATTTGGAGAACAGGGGGTTGACGAAGTAGGAACTCATGCTGGGCACATGAAAACCTGCGGCCCCCTCCCCTTGGCTCACGCTCCCCCGCCCGGTATCCCCGAAACTCCCCTCCCCCCGGGACCGAACCCCCAAGCTGGCCGGCTCCCCCGGGCTGGACTGCTGGGCTGGGGGCTGGGCAGGTGGGGGCGCGGTGCCGGCTGAGGGCTCGGGCGGCAGCGGCTCTGTTCACTGTCGGTAGGTAGAGCGCGCGCGCTCACTTAGCTCTTTCCTCTAACAGCCCAGGCGAATTCCTCAGACTCCCGGCGGTGGCGGCGCTTACACGCGATTCGCGTTCATCAATCCACGACATGAAGACAGGCGAGCGAGCGAGCGAGCAAGCGGGGGAGAGAGAGAGAGAGAGAGAGAGAGAGAGAGAGAGAGAGAGAGAGAGAGAGAGAGAGAGAAAGGGAGGGGGGAGAGGATTGAGGGGTTCGGGCCTGGGGGGGACCTGGAGAAGAGGGAGGGAGGAGAGGGGAGGGATGGGGGTGTGGTGTGTGTGTAGGGGATGGCCAGCCAGCCCCAGCTAATGGCCAGGCCAGCTTTTCCAAAGTATGTACTCTTGTTAGAAGGTGCACCCCTTTTCTGTCATTTTTGAGAGATACCTGAGCCAGCAGGTCAACTCAGGTTACCTCAACAGGTAGAAGACCCCAGGGGTGAGTGTTAGTAAGTCGGGGCTGAGCCTTTAACCTCAAAGGTGAGTTACCTGGGGGTTCCTAAAGTCTGGGGACTTCAGGAAGAAGCACAGCATGTACCTGGACCCTTCAGGCTGCAGACCCTCAAGTCCCTGACCTCTCCCCAGAGTCTGAAGCTGCTCTGTCTTCTTTACAACCTTGAGACTCTTGTCCCTTGACTACTATGGGTAGAGACGATGGGGGTGACACTCCATGTACCCCAGCAAGACCACAATACCTTTGCAGAAAGTAGTTCCTCCAAGGAGCAGGAAACCCAAACCAGCTTGGCTGGGAGACTCTGAGAGCAAAGCTGTTTATGGGAACGAAGAGAAACAGCTTGAGCGCCCAGGCTTCTGCCTAGCCTAACCCAAGACATTTCTGTTTCTGAGACTATTAGCGGGCTGAAGGGAGCAGGAGTAGGCCTCTTACTGATTCTCAGAAACCACCACCACATAGGAAATGCCAGCTGGACCTACAGGGGCCCTCAGGCTTCCCTGCACCCCCCTCTTCTCCAGGCAGGCTTCCCAGGTCAGGATGTGGATGGGAACTGTCAACAGATACTCTTTAAATATTTACCCACACTTTCGGGGAGGGGGACACAGATCCCCATGCCCAAGACTGGACAAATTCAAGTTAATTCTAGTGGAAAAATAACCTTGGACCCTCAACCCCCTTCCCTGGCCACAGTGTCTACAGTGGGCTTAATTCAGGGAGAAAAGAGAAGAAAGCATGAGCGCATGTGTGTGAATGTGTGCTATTGTGCTCCTGAATGAAGATGAATAAGAATGATTTCTTTCTGTCTTCTTCCTCCACAGTAAGTGAGGCTTACAAAGCCATCCTGGAGCACACTCGGAACACACACACACACACACACTATCTATCTATCTATCTATCTATCTATCTATCTATCTATCTATCTATCTAACTATCTATCTATCTGTATGTATATACACACATACATATACATACATACAGATATAGATAGATGAGTGTGTATATGTATATATGTGTATAGTGTGTATATACATAACTATGTATGTACATGTACATATATAGATGCTGCACTATTTTCTTACTCAGAGACATATCAAGTGTATGTTCATTTCACACTAGCTATACACATTTCTGAAAGTGGCCTTTCTGACTCACAGACCTGTACATACATGTGTGCACCAGGCCATGCACAGAATGTTTGGTGAATATAAATGCTTGATAAATATATATATTTGTAAGCTTTTGCATCAAGAAAAAATTCTACCTGTCTTTCTTCCTCATCCTGGGGTTTCAGGGTTGGGCAAGGAAGGGTGTGGTAGAAAGCCAGATCTCCTCCTTTCCCGCCCTAATCTGGAGCCAGTTGTGGGATGGCTCTAGGCGTAGAGGACAGGCTAGCAGGGCAAGGCAGGATAGAAAGAGCAGTTCTCCCCTGTCCTTTTTTATTTAAATAATTACTGGGGAAATGACCACTCTCAGCCAAATTCTTAAAGGAGATTCCTGGTGTTCAGGCAAGAGACTCTATACTGGAATCTTTTGAATTTAGGGAACTCACCGCTATTGAACTTAGGAACTGCCCAAACTCTTAGGGACAGAACTCTAGCTCTGAGGCAGCAGGAGGGGAGATTCCAGAAGTGCTTTGTCAGGGCTGTGGATCTCACTAGCGTCCAGAGTAGTGCGAGGAACCCCAGAACATCTCCACCCCAGCATAGCCCGCTGCATCTTTGGCTCCAGCCTTTTCCATCTGAGAGAATTTGCTCGGTGTAGAGCTGAAGAAAGTGGATTCTGGATTCCTAGCATCTGACCATGGGGGCTGTCATAAATACTTTCTCTTCTTTGACTGGAAAGAGGAGACTCAGAGGGTCCGGATACTCTCTGGGGCCTGTGTCTTATCTTTTAGGGGGTGGGGAAATCTATTTCCAGATTTTATGGTCCAGAAAAAAAAAAAACCTGCAAGGGAGCTATTCTTCTGGGCCTTTGTGTCGTGGAATGCGGCTGTCCCGAACATTACCACCGCCTGTCCGGAGAACCCATCAGTCCTATAAGCTTTGGTTGGACTTAGTTTTCCCCTTTGAAGGCTTTTATCATCTTTTATTTTATCTACTTACTTATTTATTTATTTTTCTTTTACCCGTATCTGGTTTATTTTGCTCTCTGAGCCTGGAAATAAAGGAGCCGCAAGCAATCATCCTCGCCGGCGCTCTTTCCCTCTGCCCAAGGCCTGCACCACCCTCTTAGGTACCACGGATTTATGTTCGTTTGTTCGGGTCATTCCGCCTATTTGTGTTAATTACCTGCTCCTCACTTATCTCCATCAGCGACTATTTTTGATGCCTGCACTCTTTTACCTCCTGAACTCTCCGATAGAGCGAGGGCCCATCTCTTGCTGCCACTCACGAATTATTACTCCTCGCAGGTGAGAAGGTTGGTTTGTTCAGAGGCAGTGGGGCCGAAAAGCCGGCAGAAGCCAGGCCCTTTCTGGCCAAAGCTTCCAATTTGGTCTCAACTGTCAGTAGGCCAGGCTGATCTGGGGTGGAGGTGGAGGTGGGAGAGGGGGAGGGGGAGAGGGAGAGGGGGAGAGAGAGAGAGAGAGAGAGAGAGAGAGAGAGAGAGAGAGAGAGAGAGAGAGAGAGAGAGAGAGAGGTTTCTAACATTGAGCAACAGCGCCACCTCGTGTCCACTTGCTCCAATGCAATCGGACTGAGGAAAAGCCCGCAGAGGTCCTAGGCTGAACTGAAAGGTAGCAAGTTGAGAGGAAGAAGCCTCTAAACCGGTGCAAAGGAGAGATTTCCAGGAAGGTGGTTGCCTCTATTCTTTGTTTTTCTAAATTCTTGAAATAAACCATGTGAAGGGTTCCACACTTTCCTCTCTTTGTAACTCTCCTTTCTGGAATAAAGAGACATTGCAAAGGAATAGCTGTGATCTCCTCCATTCAGGCCTTTGCCCTTGCCTACGTGGGTGCTTGGGTACACCGCCCCATCCGAAGTTCTCAGGACCTTCTGCTCCCAGCACTCTCAGTCCCTTTTATCGTGTTGCACAGCCTATTCCACCCGCTGCCTGCTGGACTTCAGGGTGGGACTCTGACCGTTCCAGGCTGCTCCCACCCCCTGGTTTGTAGCCCTTCCCTAGCATGCGCGCGCTCTTCAGCTCTCCCTCTCGGCCAGAGAGGTCCTGATCTCTGTGGGCTATAGACAAAACATTCCTATAATCCGATTTCAAAGGAAAGATTGTCCACCTTATTTAAACCATAAAACAATTAAGCCCAGACGTCTAGCCAGCTTCGCGTTGCTGTTTTGTTCGGGGCCCCATTCAGAACCCAAGGCAGGGAGACAAACAGGACCATAAAAGTGGCATTTCTGGGCTCCGGAAATGTACCTACCTCTGCCTTCCCAAGTAGGACAACCTTTAGGGTTTTGTGATTCTGACTAAAGAGCAGAGGAGAGGTGGAAGGACACAGGAGGGAAGAGAAAGTCTGCCAGACCCTCTCCTGGTCTGCTTTCATTTCTCTCCCCAGATGCGTGTCGTGTTGTTTTAATTCACAAATGCTAATGAATAAAATCGAATCTAATGCTGATCTGGAGGCTAGAAACTGGGATTAAAGAGTGGGCCGCCTCTAAATCCAACCTTCTTCTGGGTCCTACAAGCTCTGAGGCCCCCTTTCCAGCCGGCAGGCTTCAGGAAGCAGACCTTAGAGCAGGGGTGTGGTGGAAGCCGGACAACAGTGCTAAGCTCAGGCAGGGAGAGAAGCCGGCACCCTCTCTCTTGATAGTCCTGACTAAGGCACTTGGTTCCCATCAAGTGCAGAACTTAGGCCAGGATTACAGAACAGCAAAAAGACCATAGGGAAGAGTAAGGTAGTGAGAAAAACAAGGCGAAGCCTCTTTCCAAAAGACCAAGGAGTCAATGTTCAGGAGTGGGATGGTCTGCTAAGCAGGGAATAGGGAATGCATCAATGGCTTGGCTGCTAAGTCTGTTGTTGCCACTTGGTTGCTGCTCCCCCCACAATATTAAAGAATCAAAAATTTCAACCCTTTTCACTTTCCTCCAATCAAATAATGTGACAGAGGCTGTCACTCCAAGTGCCCACCAGTCCTGCCAGGGGATGCTTTGGCAAAGCGGATGGCCTGAGATGTTAAAGGGCTATATTTCAAGCAGTCTAATTTTAATAGTTTCCAGATTGGGGGATTTCCGAGAAAAGGGGTGCTGGGATGAGGCGGACCCAGCAGTTCTGTCTGCTTCTGATTAGCCCAAGAAACTGTTAGCTCCAGAGAGAGAAGGTTCTAGAAAAGGGTGCAGGGCAGCCATACAGCCCCACCAGACTGTTAGGTACACATCACTGTGCCTCTGTGCTTGGGGTCCAGCAGCCACCAGAGAGCACCCCATTGCTAGCTAACTGTTAACTCTCTCCCTTGTAGCCTGGCCTCACTACCCCCTAGGAGAACTACTTAGCATGACCTTAGTAACACTTATCAACATTCAAACTAAACATGGGGGGGGTTAGAAGGGGAGAGAAGAACCAGGAATGAATTCACTGAGAAAAAATTAATTCTTATTATATTGACTTTGCGATCCGTTTTTTCTCTCCCTCTTCATTATTTTCTCCTGCCTTCCTTCTTTCCTTTCTTCTTCCCCCTCCTGTCTTCTTTTTCTTGTATTTTTATTTCTTCCTTCCTCCTCCTCCCCCCTTCTCATTCAGTACTCAGTGCCTGTCCCCCAGTGTTCCTTGAGGCCTGCATGGCCTTTTCCCCTAGCTGAGCATCCTGCTAGCCTTCTTTCTCAGCCAACCCTGAAAGCACCACAGCACCACAGCACCACAGCCACCAGGCAAGAAGCCAGCCTGGGCCTTCACCCAGCACCCAACTTTCATCTTCACCTATCTTTTCTCTCCGATCTCATGTACTCATAAATTACGACAATTAATTACAGCCAGCAAAACCATCCCAGCAGCGCTCCCCACACGCTCCATCAAGCCACTAGGAAACTCACAGGCAGCCAGCCGGGGCAGGCGCAAGCTAGGCCTCTGTCTCAGCAGCCTCCCCTCCTTCCCTTCCAAGGAGCCCCCCTCCCATTCTGCCCTGCCTGGAGAGAAGCTGCAGGCCTTTGCCCTTCGGAGGTAGAAGGAGCCCCTTCTCTGGTTCTGGCTCCAGCTTCCCTTAGAGGATTAAGCCCTTGCCTCGTCCACAGAGCCACGGGTGAAGAGAAATAAAGACGACGAGAACTAGATGCAGTTGAATTTCTGTTTTTTTTTTTTTTAAGTGACTTCGATATATTAACAGAGTTGCTCTACTGTAACAAACAGAAGCACATTACAGGACGCGCTGGAGGGGGCACTAGGATGAGAAGAACACGGTTCTATACAAGCCTGAGGAACCAGCCTGCCTGTGCAGTCTGACCCAGCCCTACGATCGGGCTCTCACCCCTCAGCTCTGGCTGGAAACCATCATTGTGTGTGTGTCTTTTTGTATAAAATCTGCCCACAGAGCTCCCACGGCCCAGGAAGAAATGGCCCAGACCAAATAAGAGAGAGAGAGAGAGAGACAGAGACAGACAGAGAGACAGACATAGAGAGAGACAGAGACACAGAAAGACACACACACACAGAGATTCAAATACTGGCTTCTTTGAAGAAAGAAGGGAAAAATCACATTTGTGTGTGTGTGTCATTTATTTCGCTTGCGCTGGGGGGAAGAGAATGCAGTTTCTCCTGCCTCCTGGTCGCTGGATAGAACTACCTCTAAACACCAATTCCTCAGCACTTAGCCCTCCCACATCGCCAGAGTTTCCTTTTTTCTTTTTAAGACGGTGGGCTTTTCTCTATCTTGCTCTTTCCTTCTCGTGCTTTCTGCCGCCTAGGCTGGGACATTTCTGTGGGGTTTTATGTTTTCCTTGGCTGTGTTGGCAGCAGGCTGGGGCAGGCTTAGGATTGCTCCTTGTCGCTTTTCTCCTTATTCATCTTTTTCATCTTCATCCTCCGATTCTGAAACCAGATTTTGACCTGCCGCTCAGTGAGATTGAGAACACGGGCCACCTCGTATCGTCGGTCCCTGGTTAAATACATATTGAAGAGAAATTCCTTCTCCAGTTCCAGCGTCTGGTACTTGGTGTAGGGGCAACGCTTCTTCCTTGTGGACCGGGCATGGATCCAGTTGGCCACGGGGTTGCCTGGAGGGCCAAACATAGGCAAGGATCAGTAGAGTCTCCTTCCAGCTCAAGACCTCAGCTATCCCACCCCAGTCTTTGTCAAGCTCCTCAAGCTCAATAATTGAACCTGAATTTGGTCACGTTTTACTTTAGGCATTTTCCTCCTTTCTCTTCTGCATTCTCCCCCTCTCCACGTGCCCTCCCTGTCCAGTTTCCAGCACCTAAAACTGTAGGAAATTTGAAGCTACCAAAGCCCCCACAGTCTGGTCTTCAGCTTCAAGAGTAGTAATTCGAGAATATCCTCATAAAAAGTCCAAATTTCCAACTGTTTCATAGGCCCATAAACGCTTCTCTCTTGTTTTTTATTTTTATAGCAAGACCCCTCTCCTCTCCACTTCCCTCCTCCTCAGCCCCTCCCATTCTCACAGCCCACGACCAAGTCCTGAAATTTCATAGTTGTTTCCTGACCCAGAGAGTCGCTAAACCCTCAGCACTTCCCAGTGTCCATCTCTTGCTCAGAATTCAACCCTGCTGAGGCGAATATTCAGGGTTAAACCTCCCCACTCGTCAGAGAGCTGCTGGCCTTGGAGAAAGGCTCCCCCACATCTTAACCCTCTTCTTGGTCTCCCCTGCACCCCCCCCCCAGCTCCAGGACAGACTCTGCAGGAGACAAGCCTCCAAGCTTCCAATTTCAGGTTTATGGGAGTAGATGAGGGCAGGAGGGAAGTCTTCCGAGGGTATAATTAGGCCCTGGCCCCTTATGGAGCTAGAGGAAAAGATTTCCTGAAGTCTCCTCCTGGGGATCCCCCAGACACTTCCTCACACCCAGGGGGCTACACCCCTCCACTGCTGTTTCTCCTTCTTAGTCCCCTCTTTCTTTGACCCTGTAGCTTACACCTGCCCCCCCCACCTCTTTACCTACCCTAGTCAGCCCCCCATTCTACACAACATTCAGAATGTTCTTTCCCTGACTAGAGTCTCTCAGGCTCGCTCTCTCTCTCTCTCTCTCTCTCTCTCTCTCTCTCTCTCTCTCCTGTGTGTGTGTGGGGGGGGCACGTGTATGTGGTTCTTTAATCTGAAGAACCTATTGCATTCCGTATTCCTAATCCCCATTCGCAACTTTCTCTTGTAGACACTTAAAAGTGGGTTTTCAAGTTTAAGGAGACTCGGACAGTTACTTCTCTCCCACTTCTGTTTGGAAGTCCTGGCCTAAGTTCCTAGACTACATACCCCCTAGACCCTTCTAGGGGGAGGAGAACTCAGTGGACCTTTTATTTTATAAACCTCTAGTGGGATGAGGACCCCCCACTCTGGCTAAGAGGTAGGGATAATTTCTTTCCTTTTGCTGCCCTGCCCCTTCTCCAACCACAAAATGAACCACAGGCCCTCAGCCCAGCTCCTGTCCCTGCTTGCATTTTATTTTTCGAAAGTGACCACTGAATCAAAAAGCCTGAGTTAAGAGGACGAATCAGGGGTCTTCCTTCAAAGCCAGCCTCTGGCAGAGAAGTTCCCCTGACCGGCCCTCTCCCAACCTGGCTGCCAGGGCCCTAGTCTCAGACCTTCCTGCCCCAGAGAGCTAGCTCCCCAAGGTAATTCGTTTTTATTGAGTCCTGGCCCCCTCGCCTTCGCCCCTCTCCCGCGCTGCCCGCGCGGCTGGACGGGCTGTAATCCGGCTGCCCCCGCCTGGCTTCCCCTCCCCTCCTGTGCCGGTTGTAAAGGAAAATTGCTCCCAACTTACTAGGGTCCAGGTCGGCCTTCTCCTCTTTGTGCTTGCTGCCGGCCAGCGCGTCCGCCTCGGGCGAGGGCAGCGTCTGCGGGGCGCGGTCGCGCAGCTCCCCGGGCGAACCGTACATGTAGTCCGGGTAGCTGCGGCCGTCGCCTGGGCCGCAGTCGGCGCGGCGCCCGGGGTAGGCGTCGGGCTTGAGGGCGTAGTGACGGCCCCCGGCCGGGAAGCTGGGGAAGGAGACGGCGCCGGACAGCGGCTCGAGCCAAGTCCGCATGTAGCGCGTGTCGGCGCCGAGGTGGGGCTGGGGGCCGTACGGGTGATAGACCACGGACGACTGTGAGGGCACGGGCGCCCACGACGTGCTGAACACTGCCGGCTTGGGCGCGAAGCTACAGGACGGAAAATCGCTACAGTCCGGCACCAAGCCGCTGGGTCTGGCGGCGGCAGGGTGAGCCCCGGTGGCCGGAAACCTGGACGCTAGGAGGTCTTCATTGTCGTGAGAGATGAGAGAGTCCACGTAATAGTTACTGATGGGCCCCGTCGCCGACATCGTAACAGGGTTTTACATACATAAGATTATTGTATGAACTGTATATGTACTTTTTATCTGCTCACAGAACAATCAAGGCAGGTAATTATTTTTCCAGCCTTTTCCCGGCAGCTCATTGGTTCCCCAGCCCCCACGTGATCGTATTTACCCAAAAATACGGCGCGGATCAATGCGCAGGGGCTTTTTTCCCTTTGCTTTTTCCCCCCTTTACCACCCCCTTCTCTCTGCTGATCCCCGCGACCTGCGTTTTCCTGGCGATCTGTAGCTCTGGACCCAAGGCGCTGGACACCCCACCCCGGACGACTCATATCTCATCAGGGAACCCCCCCCCCTTTTACCATGTGCAGCCAAAAGCAGATGGCTCCCCCTACCATGAGAATTAAAAAAAAAAAAAAACACCAAGGTGAAAATGCGAGTTCCTGAAGCCAGGGTTCTTGGACCCCCAAGGGCTGAGCTGGGCTCGGGGAGCCCCACAGGGGCGGGGAGGCTGGACGAGGTAGGTGGAGGAACTATTTCTTGACGTAATCTATCTCTGTCGGTCCCGAAGCTCCTGCAGTCTCTGAGTGAACGGAGATCTGCGATTGTCAGTTCGGAACGTGGCTTTTAAAGATGCTTTTTAAAATACGGTGTATTAATGTATTTCTTTCAGCAATAGCAGCACCAGCGGCGAGGGAGGGACGGTGGGAGGGGACTGAACAAGCTGGGATGAGGGAGGGAAGGAAGGAAAGGGGACAGTTCTTCTGCCACTGGCCAGCTCAGCTCCCCAAATCTAGGGTGGGTATGGGAGGCTTGGGAAGGTGGTCTGTAGGGTGGGAGGAGTAGAACTGGGCCACTTCACACACCTTTATCATCAGCTTCACAAGTCTCCTCTTGCTTTGGCACAGATATATAAGCCTTTATTTAAATTTATTGTATCTGTTTCTCTGCCAGCTTGAAGAAGTGGAGGAGAGAACTATACAACTTAAGTGGGGCATTTCCATCCTGTCTGCCTGCTCACTCTCCTTTGCCCCCGGTCATCTCTGTGACACCTTCACATACACCCCAAAAAGAGAAGTCACTCGGAGGTTCTGTCTGCAGAAAGCCAGGGTGAGAACAGGCAAAGCGAGAGAGAGACCTCGGTCGTGGGCAAGTAGCTTGTTTTTACGTCCTTCAATAAAATTTTTATGAGGATCATTTGATTGTTCATAAATGTGTCTTTCATTAAATAAAATTGTAGGCTGTTTTTGGAACAGAAAAAAAGCAATGGAGGGATGGGAGAAGGCAATTTCTTTGGGGTCGGATGGAAGAATTCAGGAGGTGGCTGTGTGACTGAGGGGTTCCACCCTCCCCATAAGTTGACTGCTATCCCCCCCCCTCGAATTTGGGGTTTGTTGCATGTACAGCTTTTCAACAGACCTCCCATGGTGGTTTAGCAATAGAAAGCTTTGGAGAGGCAGAAAAGTCCTCAGTAAGGGTTCAGGAGAGGAGGCAAAGAGGATGGTTGTGGGGATGAAGGGACAGGTGATGCACCTAGGCAGAGCAGAAAGAATCTAAAGAATCAGGGTGCAGTCTCAGGGTCAGAGGAAAGAGTCTATGCGAAGGGAATTAAACAAACAGGAACTGAGGCTAGGAAGTGAGCTCTGAAGGAAGCAGGTTCTGTGGCTTCTTCTATGCAGTCACCAGGACCAGTCCAAACTCTAAGTGTGGAGTGGGGACTGGTTTTCTCCTACATTCCTCTCCCTCTACTCTTCCAGGTGAGGAAGTGCTAGAGAGGTACCTGTGTTAGAGGGTGAGAAGGTTGGGGAGGGGACAACTGCAGCTTTTAGGAGAGACTCTAGAGCTGCTGCAGCCCTCCCTAGTACCTGTGGGCCCCTCCTCTCCTTCTTCGCTTTTCAGTATATCAGAGCTGGATTTTTTTGTTTTTTGAGGCATGGGGTGGGTGTGCAGGGAAGTGTCTGGTTAGGGAAAGGCACTCAGAGCCTGAGACTAATTCTCCTCAGAGCTCACTGTCTTTTCCTTTGGGCTGGACTGGCTGGAAAATCCAAATTACATAAGAAACAGAGTATCTCTTTGGCCTTGATGCAGTCATGTTAGCTGTCAATCAAAAAATTTCCCTCACTAGTTCAAGAACACATAGGCGGTTCCAGGTCCTCTGCAGAGGCTTTCTCCAAATCCCCAGCATAGTCAGCACCTCCCCCAGCCATGGGTGACTGGGGACCCAGCCTGACTCTTGAGTAGTTACTGGCAGCCTTGAGCACAGGCATTTAGTCTTCAGTGGGGCCCCGGGACAGACTGTGGCCAAGAGGACATCAAGGGACAGAGCCTAAGAGAGTCAGAGCCTGACAGACCAATTTAAACAGGTCTCCAGACTGGAGGAAGGAAAAACAGAACTGGAGGGTTAGGATAACGAGGAGAGAGAGAGAGAGAGAGAGAGAGAGAGAGAGAGAGAGAGAGAGAGAGAGAGAGAGAGAGAGAGAGAGAGAGAATGAGAATGAATTAAGGAAAAGAAGGCAGGCGAGAGGAAGAGACCTAAGAACAAGGAAAGGAAGGCTCTCAAAACACAAGGAAGAAAAGGGCGCAGAGAGGCACAGGCAGGATGGTGCTGGGCTGGGGCTGGGCGCAGGCTGACGGAGCAGCCGGAGCAGCCACAGGAGCAGCCGTGGCATTGTGCAGTTCTCTTGCTTGTCCGGGCTTTGCCGCGGGACCGCTCCGGGCGCGGCGGCCACTTCTGTCTGGACACAATGGCGTAAGAGGCCTCCTTTCCTCCCCCTCTGGGAGACCTGCTCCGGTGGGTATACTAGGCCGGTGGGACACAGAATCTGAGTTAGCCCGGCAGTCACTTCAGCTGCTGGGGGCTAAGCCACATTCTAGTCAAAGAGGAAGAAATAGAAGGGGAAGAGACAGCATGCCTGCTTTTTTCTGCATCTTCACAGGGCGCCAGGGCCTGTCGGTCTCTACCCCAATGTTCCTAAACAGAAGTTCTTAAGAACCCTCGTCTATTCGAGAGAGCCCCTCTTTAGATATCTTGACTGTAATGAGACCTCCCTTCTCCCCTGCGCCCTTTGCACACAACCTTCTTTTCAACTTCTGAGCAGCCTGCACACCCAGCCTGCCTACTCTGCAGAGGCTGCTGCAACTGGCACTCGAGAGCACCATTCAGGGACCCCTGTCTCCCTCAGATCCTCCAGGAAGCAGAAGAGAGACAGTTGCCTTGCCTTCCTTTTGAGATCAAAAACTCCAGACACTCCCCACTCAGAAGCAGGCTCAGCTGTAGACTGGGAAGCAGGCCTCGCCCACAGGCCCCTCCTTGCCAATGCCCCATTCTGTCTATGCTTCTCAGAAAGAAGAAGCCTTAAGGAAGGTAGACACTGGGAGTCCAGAGCCCACTAGGCCTAGGTCCTGCGTGTGGGTTGTCACATTTAAAAGCTAGCAGATCAGGGATGGGAAGTGGTTTTCTCTAAATCTCGGCTTGCAAAGATGTGGGGATACCAAAAGGAGGGTCTCATCTTGGGGTTCAATTGCTCTTATATTCTATTCCAGGACTTTCTCTCATCCAAACCATCCCATTCCATTTTCCTTAGCACCGCTGGAGCAACCTGAGAGACCTGAGGATGCCAGGAGTAACTGTTGGGGAGGGAAAAGGCCAGGTCTAGTTGACAGTTCTGTATTCGCTGGAGTTCCTACCTTTCACCGTACACATCCAACAGATTTCAGTGGGCACAGGAGAGGAGTGCCCTGAGGGGGGAGGGGCACACTTCCTCTATCCCGTCAAACCTGAGCAACTGAGACCACAATCAGGCTAGCACCATGGGAAGGACAGACAAACAGATAGGCTAGAGTCATCACCCCCTCCCCCTGCCGGGTGTCTCCCTTTTAATGATTTAAATTCCCTCCGGTTCAATTCACACCGTCAAGTTCGGATTAAATTTAAAACAGGCTTTCCTCGGTGCCCCCAGCGGGTCATCCGAACCGCCGCAGGCAGGGAGCCCGCTTGCTGCTCCTCAGCACCCGCCCAGAACCGAGAAGGCCGGTTGCTTTCATTTTCCTTCTCCCCTGAAATGGGCTCATTTCATCCCTCCGCTGCCCTCTCCCCTTCCCCGCCCCCTCCCTGGTTCCCTTTCTACTCCCTACCCCATCTCTCCTGATCCCTCTTTGTTGAGAAAAACACACCCACACACAACTCCTTCTAGCTAAAGCCTGCACTGGAAGCAGAAACTGAGCTCTCCTGCCTGCCGCGAGGAGATCCACGTGCTACCCCCACTCAAGGTGGGTATCTGGGATCCCTGCACACCACACCAGGAGCCAGGCCCCCAAGCTCAGCAAGCGTGAAACCCCCAAGGCCTGTGAACGTGGCCCTCTCAACGCCACGGCCTGCCGGCCTGCCTTCGCGCCCGCGCCCCCCGCCCTGCCGCTCCGCAGCAAACGGTGTTATTTCCGGCTCCCCCCACACAGTCCGGTTTTCCAGCCTGGGGAGTGGCTGGATAGGGGAGCCGCCCCAGAGCCGGGGCTGCCCAGTGTTCTGACTCTCATTGACTCCGAGCACGTTGTTACCTGATCTTTTGTGTGATGTATGTTTCGCAAGGAAATTTGCAGTGACTTTGGAGCCCAGACTGAGGAAGCGTAGGTGGCGAAATGAGAGACAATACAAGCTCGAAGTACAATTAAGGAGCCGCGGGCCTCCCCCCACCCCCTTCCGCGCCCTCCCTGCCGGACTAGGAACTGTCTAGCTTCAAACCTCAGGGCGACTCGCGAACCTAGAACCGGAAAAACTCAGCCCGTGGCGGAGGGAGCCAAAGAACTCCACGTCCAGAAAACAGGAAGAAACTCCCTTACAACTTGGGGGTGCCGGCCCCGCCGAGTTGCAGAGAATCCAATGAATGAAAGTACACATTCCGACGACGAATTTTTCTTAGCCTTTGGAAGGAGTGTCCGGGTTTGAGAAGTCTCAGACAGACAGGCAAGCGGCGTCTCCCAAGGCAGACAGACTCACAACATGAGTGTGAGGCTGAAATCATACACAGGTTGAACATCCCAAGGCCTCCTTGCCAGGCCTGACTGGCGCCGATTTCCCTACCTTCTCTCCTGCCAGGACCTCAGGCAGAGCCCCCTTGCCCCCAGGCTTGGTACTTTAGGCTTGGTTCAATCCCGCCTTGGGAAGCCTCCGTTACCTGTTCCTCCGCTCCTCACAGCCCCAGACGCAGGACAGCCGCCTCCCGCCCAGGGAGGGAAGCCCTGACCACCGCAACCGCCGCCACCCGCCCTCCTACCCTCCCTCCCTTCTTCGCCCTCCCTCCCTCCCTCGCACGCTGCCGCTGGCGGGGCCCTCCCGCGGGCAACCTGCTCTGGACCAAATCCAGGTATCTCCGAAAGAAAAAAAGAAAGGGCCGCTTATATAGAGAGGGGGGGAAAAGACCCAAACTGCATTTATTTTCATGATGTGATCATTGGTCCGATCTTAGTTTAGTTGTTCGGGACACAGCCCAGTAACCGCCCGCAGAGGTGTGCAGGGCCTACAGCCTAGCCTAGGATGACCGCCGCGGCGGGCGCACAGCACGCTTCCTCGGTACTCCGGGCTGCCGCCACCCGGCAGCTTAAACACCCAACAGACCTCAAGGTCCTTCCTACAGACTCAACATCCGGTTGCCCAGCTCGCCGCTGACCACAGCCCAGGAGTCTGCTTTGCTTAGTCTGCAGACAATGTCCACACACAGTCCACCTTGTCCCTGCTCTCTCATCCGCCCGGATGGATACCCCTCCGAATCCAGCCATCCGCTGGGTTACACTTGGGCAAACCTCGTCCCCAACAAGGGACCCACACAAAGCTCTATACGCTACTCTTCTCATTTATACCCCCCCCCATGCCCGCTTGCCGCCTTCACATCACCTGTTCCCAAAAAGGGCTGCGTCTCCCAGCGAGTGAACCGAGGCAAGGACGATTGCCCGGGTGAGGTCCCAGGGAGGCCACAGAGGATTGAGGCCACAGTTGGGCTGAGCCTGAGACCTCCACAGGCGAGATGTCTCAGAGACCAAGGCTCTCCTTGGTGAGCTCTTGCCTTTTCCTCCTGCTCCCGCAAGTCTCAAACACACGCCAGAGTTCAGCTCTATAAATCCTGCTCCCCTTTCCCATATCATAATTAAAAAAAACCAGTAGGGGAGGTTTTAACTTTTATTGCGATTTCTAGAGTTGGGTTGTGGAGCATATATTAAGTTTACGCTTATGTGCTCTCGGCGGGGAGGATCCTTTAAGAAATAAAAATCCATCTTAATATCCTCAGACGAGAGAGATAATTTTTTCCCTCCTCTTCACGCTGTTACTTCTGAAGACTCCCTTCCAGCGAAGAGAATAAATAATTACCATCGCCTTAGCCGTGATCCACAGCCCCAGGGCCCCCGGGGTGGACTCTGACCATAAGACTGGCCCTCACCTTGGCCCGATGAGACCTTGCTCTCTTTCTCCCAATCTAGGGAAGGGGATGCTCTGACCCCTGACTCTTGGACCACCTCCTTTAAGCCCATCATATTTGAAATGGAAACAGGGTCAAAGGCACAGAAGCTCTATGTTGATAAATTTCGGCCCATCGGGGCGATTTCTGTAAGCCAAGTGATCTTGAACACCTTGCTCCAGCCTGAGGTTCTCTTTACCCAAATAGTCTCTGAAGCTAAAGGCTGCATGGGTTCCCAAACCAAGGCATCTCCTTATATATCTTCCACTACCTATTAGCCTATTATTTTTTCTGGAAATCTCCCTATTTCTCTGGGAGCTATAGAAATTTGAATACTTTTCCTCCTACAAAGGAATGGAGGACAGACAGACCGAAAATTCAGCTGGAAAAGGGAGAATCTATGATCATTTTCTCCTCCAATGTCCATGGAAGGCAAAATAAATTTGAGAGACAGACAGGCATGCACGCTGATTGATCTTAGAGACACCAGAAAACCTAGAAGGTACAGGTAGGAAAAAAATCTACATGCATGTAGGGTCACACTGTTTTCTTCTTGGACACCATGTTGAGAATATAAAATTATTCTCCATGATAGTTTGTTAGAGACATGATTGCATATGGTATTCCCTGCTTTCATGATCATAGTTATGGAAAGGGTTTCTAGGACCAGACCTCCCTTCCAGTCTCTAAAAACAGAGCTGTCTGTCTCCCTTTTCCCCAGACCCCAATTTTTTCTTTTGAAGACCAAGAAACCTTCATTGAGATCCTTCTCCGTAGAAACCAAGGCCAGAATTGAGAAAGCCGAGGGGAACACAGTGGAGGAGACCAGTTAAGTTTCTCATTGCTCAGACTTCCCTCTGCCCCATTCTTCTCCCTGCGGCCCCCTAGCATCAGCCTTCCCAACAATATGGTCACAGTGGGGGCTGGCAGCTTCTGTTTACCCAGACATTTCCACAGAATACAGGACAGGCAAATGCTTAGTAGCCACAGTCTAGCAGACACACAGACCAAGGCCTAGCGGCAACAGGCAAGTAGACAGACCAGAGCTGGGCTTTTGCCCTTCATGGGGTGTGTTTGGGACGACTTCTACTTGGACTTGGTGTTTCTCCACTAACCTACCCACTTCCTGTATGCATCTTTTCCCTGAAGATGGAGCTGTGGAGGGTAGGGTAAGCCACAGTTCTCAGAGTTCCTTAACTCTTAGAACAACACCCCCACTTTCCTAAGGAGCCCTGTTCTCTCTCTAGAGGTGGCAGGGACAGACACTAGCCATTTCAGGGACTCTCCTTTTTCTATGAGCTTTTCTTTCCTTTATCGACTCTTCCCCACCCTGCTGCCCAACAGGCCAAAGGTGAACTCCAGGATTTCCTTGGAATTGGCTGGACTTTCTTTGTCTATCAGCTGGACCCAGGAGACAATAGCTACAGGGGAGAAAGAAAAACCCTCTCCCTCAGTTGCAGACATTGGGGCAGGCTGAGAAGGAGTAGGCTGTAAAGCAGGGTTGTCCAGAATTTGTCCCATGGCCTCCACTCACAGCCTGCCCTCCTCAGTCTGCACCCACTTTGCCCTATCTGGAATGAGGATGGTGGGGCAGTCCCACAGGGGAGGGAAGGGTTAGGAGAGGTGGATTGGGGGCCCTCGACGAAAACCGACTGATGTAACTCAGGCAGTTTCTTGTTGCCGAGTACAAAACTCAATCCCAACAACATGAAACTACCTAAGCCACAGATCAGCTGAGCAAGCAGGGCCGGAGTTTAGGCTTTGCATCTATCCAAAGCAGAAGGGAAGGGGCTTAGGGAAGGAAGAAATTCAGCCCGATCCCCTTTCCACCCTTACAATCTCCCTAAGGACTAGAGAACAGACTTTGGGTGGCTGGGTAGGCAAAGGATCCGATTGCCTCTATTAATTTCTGGTATAAGCAAACTGCATTTGGAAAATCTGGTGAGATGGGGCCTCTAGCCACTAAATACCTGCCCCACCCCCAGTACTGCAGTAGAGCTATGCCCCTGCATCTGGCCCTGGTCCTGGGGGGCAGGGAGCTGGATCATTCTTCCACTCTTGAGCTAGGTCCCCTGTCTTGTCCATCAGGCTCTCCTGTACTCTCCTCTCAGACTCCCCATGCCTCAGGCTTCTCAGCAAACAGGGGTGTCTGGACCACAGCGCCTATGATCGGCTCTCCTTCCAGTCAGGTCACTGCCTGGCAAAGCCCTACAGCTAGAAAACACAAGGACCAAGAACATAGACAAGGCTCACTCCTACACCAGCAAAAACAAGAAAACCTAAGCTTCAGGCTCCAACCCTATTTTTCCCAAAATACAGCCAGACCGAGAGACACCTAAACTAATTAATGGGTGGACTTCCAAACAACCCTAAGTGCCTGCAAATATAAAGAAGCCAAAACCACCAATTTACCCCCCTTTAACCACCAAGCCCCACCGGAGAGAAGGACAGGGAGTTCAGAGCCGCTGCCCTCCACTGACGGCGGCCACAGACAAATCCGAAGCTCTCAGCAAACACAGATGCCCTAAAACACCTTCCTCCGTATTCTACCCGCTGCTCGCCAGGCACCTGGGGACACCACTAGTCCTCAGTCCACCGCCAAGAGAAGAACAAGAAACCGATTCTCTTACCTTGTCGCCGCTCCTCCTTCTCTTGCTGCCGCTGGTGCTGCTGTTAGCTGCTGTCGAGGGGGGGGGAGGGAGGCTGAGGTCCTGGTGCCTCTCTGGTGGTTAAGTTTATTCCTCTGTTTAGATGGGTGGGGGTTCCTGAGGGCCCCCCAGCAGTGGTGGGGTGCACCCACCCCCAGTACCGAAGGCAATCAGATCCGTCTGCTCCTCAAGATTGCAGTGTGCTCTCTGGCTCTTCCCTCCTCAGTCACCTTTAAATGCATCTTTTACTGCAGCCCCACATTATATTTGCAGATCATAAAATCCACCTCTCGCGCGCACCAAGACCGTCCTGACATTACTGTTTTATGACCTTGACTTATTGTGGTCACCTGGATAATATTTAAATCAACGTTATGGTCTCTCACTTACATTAAACCCGCCAAGAGACATTCTGGAAAGGCTGTAGAAGATGAGTCAAACACAAAACACACACATATCCACACACTCAGTGTTTTGGGGGAGGGGGTGTCGCTTAAAAAAAGCCACTAAAAACAAAAAACCACCCATTTGAGGATTAAGATTCCGGAAATTTATTAGGATTTTTTTCTCCATTAAGGAAGCTACATGCAAAAGATACAACATACAGAATATCTTTAAATAACACAACTCCCAGACAGGGACAGGACAACTCCGGGGGGGTGTCTTTACTTTATGTTCTATTTTTAATTATTTATTTTAATTATTTTGTTCTTGATGGAATTTCTGAGATGTTAGTAGAAGGGAGGGACAGGGTGCTGGGAGGGGTGGGAGAGAAGCAGAAAGCAGTACAAATACTTCAAGCAGATTCTCAGAGTCACTGGAAGGGAAAGACACAGGGAGGGCTGGGTCTAGATGCTGGGCGCTATGACAAACACACAAATACTAGACAAATTTTCAAGACTGTCTATTATTCTAAGGGGGGAAATGCAGCAAGGAGGGAGCAATCTGACTATGATCTCCAAGGTTACAGACCCTCTCTGGTTGATTTTCCCCCCTTTCTTTTCTCTATAATGGGGTGGATTCTATCTTAGCTTGCATGGGGAGCAGAATGCTGCGTGTGAGTGCATGGGTGAGTGGGGGTTGACACGACACACACACCAGCCACACTCCCACCCCATCCTTGAGGGCACGCACAACACCCCAAAACCCAGCACCCCATTTCTCATGCTTTAGGTGGAAGAATCCTTGCAGCACAAACCATAGGTCCCTTGGAAGGAGAGTCTGAGGTCTTTGCCTTTTTTTTTCTTTGCAGGCGCGTTGCATTTATACTCAGGGAGGGAAAAAAATACCACCAGGCACAAAGGGAGGAGGGGCGGGGAAAGGAGAGATGGGGAGGGGGAGGAGATGACGCTGGCTCAGGTGAAATTAAAATTGGAGGTCAGTTCCCGGATCCGATTCTCTCTGTTCATTTTCTTGAGTTTCATTCTGCGATTTTGAAACCAGATTTTGACTTGTCTGTCTGTGAGGTTAATGGTCTTGCTAATCTCCAGGCGGCGCTCTCGCGTCAAATACATATTGAACAGAAACTCTTTCTCCAATTCCAGCGTCTGGTGTTTAGTATAGGGGCACCTCTTCTTCCTTCCGCTCTTTGCTGTCAGCCAATTTCCTGTGGTGTTTTCTGCCTTTATCTCCTCTGTTAAAAATAACATTATTTACATAAGTATCCCTGGAAGCAGCAAGCCCTGGGGATGCAGCTTTTGGAAGCCTCTTGGGGTGAGGGCGAATGAAGATGCTCCCCTGACTGCACAGGCCTGGGGGCAGATTCTCTGGGGCTTTTGGAAATCCTTAGGGGTCCAGACTTAGAGGGAAGAAAGATGGGAGGTGCTTACCCTCAAAGTGTTTGCTAAATTTAAATTAGTCAAGCTCACCTTAACCTAACAGATTCCAAATGTCTCTCCTGATCCAGGTGATTACCCTAAACCTCACCAGGCTTTCCTTCAACTCTTTTCTGCTCCAGATCTCAAAAAATCCAGTCAGACAGGAAAAAAAATCTTCAATGCACTCTGCCCCGCAGCTCAGAGTCATTTCCTGGAGAGCTTTAACCCCTCACTCCATGAAGGGGTTCTGTCCCTGTCTCTGCAGCCAAAGACATCTCAGGACTGCCTGCACTAGGCCCCCAGCTCTTATTCCCGCCTGAACTGCCACAAGATTGCTGTCCTTTTAAAACTTTAGCTCCCTCCTTCTCTCCTGGCCACGAGCTTCAGGTACAGGCAGAAAAGCCTGTCTGAGCAGCGGGGGCAAGGGCACCAGTTCTGAGGCGTGCTGAGGGATTCTCAGAAAACTTCCCCTGACCAGAGAGGACTTAAGGTCAAGGAAGGGAGACATCCTAAGGTATTGTAGTCCCCTAGAGTCTATGTGTAGATGGGTGTTTGAAACACACACACACACACACACACACACACACACACACACATCTGTATACACAGAAGGGATATTGTTAGCCTCTCTTCCTAGTAGGTCTTTTTGCTGAAATGGATGAACCTTGATCTTCAGGTAACAGAAAGGAACACAGCCACCCTTTAAAGGGAAAAATATAGAGTTTAAAGACTAGGGAGTCATTGATACCTAGCAAATAACTTTGCTGACAGCTAGTGTGCACCCTACTTCCTTTTTTCATTAAGTCAAGTGAGACTTCTGGGTCCAGGGTTTTGTAGGGATTAGTGATGGGAGAGTTTCCTAGGGCAACCAGAAAACAGTCAGGGTGAGGGGTGGGAGTGGGGGGGATGCAAACTTGAAGCTATAGTCCAAAAATGTCAATGTCTTTAATTATTCTCCATTCTGCACCTGCAGCTTCTTGCCAAGCTGTTTGCAGGCTCTCCACATCTTATTCTGCCCTGTTGATTTTTTTATTGGGGTTGTTGGGTTTTAAGAGGAGGAAAGAAATTGCAAATGGACCTTAGCCAAAAGCTCTTTCCCTCTGGCCTGATGAAAACACCAAAAAGGGGTGAAGAAAAAGGAGAACAGGAAGTGCAACCTCTGGGTGTTAGTTTGGGGTAGGAGGGGGGAGAAGGAGAGAAGGGGAATCTATCAAAGTGATTGTCCTTTGGGTTTAGGAGGTAGATTTATTAACCTTGACTTTGCTTCTTGGTATGGTTAGGACGAAGTTTGTTCTGCCATAGTCCTCTACCCCAGTCCAGCTCAGGACTTATGGTGAGTGGATAAAATTAAACTTGGCATTATATATGTTCCATAACGGCATGTGTGTGATATGGGTGCCTCATGCCCTCATCCTCACAGGCACAGACATGGTCATCTTCTGGCCAAAATCTCTAAGGACTGATTTACCAAGGCTATCTTTGCAGAGCAGACCCCAGAGGGTAAGGCTTTGCCCTTGTGCGCTAAAAGAGTGCATCTGTGTGTGTGTGTGAGAATGAGTATGTGAGGAACATAAGAGGTGTGTGTGTGTGTGAGGGGGGCACAGGTTGCCTGAAGACATGAATGTGCCGTTGCGTCCATATACAAAGCACTACACACAAGGTTCAGGGCATTCCCAGCCTGATTCGCTTTCAATTCATCTACCTTTACATCAAGGGGTCAGCCTAGCACACCACCAGGAGCCACTGTCTTGAGGAGCGGGTTTATTCTTCCCTATTGGGCCTTTTTTAATTTTTTTTTTTTTGCTCCAACTTTTCAGGGAAAGTCATTGCCCTCAGCATCTCAATCCTGTTCAAACTCTGTATTTTCCCCATAGACAGCAGCAAAGGGTCCTGGTGCCCCCAGCTACAGAGGAAATGAATCTTGAACCCCGAGCTTGAACTCTGGCTGAACATTCCTTCTTGAACCAAAAATCACAAAGAAATACAACCAATGCCTCACTCCTTCTCAGGAGTAAACCGCTTGCCACGCACACAGAAAATTTCCAGCACTCACTTATTAAGCAGCTTTTGAAAAACAATGGGAAAAACATAACTAGTAAAAATAGAAAAAAGAAATTTTTTAAAGATCAAAAAAGAAAAGAAAAAAGAAGGAAGGAAAGCAACATTTCCAATGCCCTGATCCAAAGCCCACAAGCCAAGCATCTGGAGGAGGGAGGGATGTGGCGGGCAGCCCTCCACCTCCACCCCTTCCGGCCTCAGCTTCACTGCCCAAGGCCCCTGCCGAGACAGAAATCGCAGGGGTGCAAGCTGTACGCACAAATCGGACCCACAAACAACAAATTGTATTTCGTAGGAAACATTTTTCCAACTAGGAAAATGCACTGAAGTGAAATGATTCATCTCTAAGCCTTCTCTCGTCCCCTGCCCAAGGATCGCCATCTTAAGCGTTTTGTGCGCTTTGACCTTAGCTGAAGACGTGAGCCCCCAGGACACCCCACTGAAAAAGCAAACCAAAGCCATCACGCGCCAAGGAGTGACCACGGATCTTGTGCAGCACAGGGTACCCGCAGGCTGCCTGTAATACTCATATCCTCCGCCTATGCACCCAAAGGCCAGGCTGGCCTGGTACCTCCAAGTCGCCTTTTACCTTCCCCTGCTAAATGACACTCCACCACCCAGGCGATTGGCAAACAGGATCCTCAAACCCAGGTATTTTCAGAACCCTCGAGTTCCCTAGGCCTCTGCTCAACCCTCTCTTCACCTTAGTCCTGAACACGAAGACCAGCCTTCGTGTCCTAGCCCCGGGGGCCCAGACAGCCTTACCTTTAGCTTCGTTATCCGAGGTGTCTGGGCTGGAGTCTGCTATCTTGGCCCGTTCCTTTTCGTTCTCCGAGGGGCTGCTTTTTGGGCCCGCCAGACTTTGCTCCGTCTTGATCTCATTGGGACTGGGGGTCTGGCTTTCGGACTTGGGGGTCTCAGGAAAACTCACTTTGCCCCCAAGCTGAGGCGATTCCAGATGTTCAGCGCGCGGGTTGAGACTGGCCCGCTGCTCAAAAGGGGCTTCGAAGTCGTTGGCCCCAGCACAGTGTGGCGTTTTGTCCAGCGCCGAGTAGCTCGGGCTGGCGCGGTAATAGCTGGGTACAGGTACCTCGTGCTCCCCAAGGCAGGACTCCGGCAGGGGGTGGGAATAGAGAGCTGCCTCGGGACCACTTTTCGTCCTCTTCTCTGCACTGTACATGCAGCAGACATTCTCCTCCTTGACACTGGGTGGGTAGGAGCAAGAGGACAGAGGCCTGCCAACAGGTTGTTCCAGGCGGTAGGCGGCTTTGGGGTCGCCCCAGGAGTCCAGCTGCGAGAGGTAGGACGGGTAGGTGTTGAGGGCCAGGTTGGGGCTGTTGCCCTCGTCCCTCTTGGAAAGCGAGGGCGCGAGCCCGCAGCCCCTCATCACCCCGCAGTTGAAGTCACTCCCAGATTGCATATACATTCCTGCGCTCCGGTTATAGCGCTCTCCTCCTCCCGGCGCAGCCAAGGGCTCCGCGTACGAGTTCGGAGTTACATTGCGAGGGCATGTCATTTTCAGAGAGAGGGGTTTTTAAGGAGCAATACTACAGCGGAGGAGCTGACATCTTTTTTCCCCCATCCGGGAAGGGGGGGGCGTTTGGAGGGGTGGGAGGAAAAAGAAGGGGAGGGGGGAAATATCAGCTCCATAATTATCCGAGCATTCGGTCCTCACCATGTGACGGCTAGACCAATGGGATTTGAAAATGGCCTTGATGATTCAGACGGCCGTGACGTCAGTGGGGTCAAGTTGTCGGCAGGCGGAGCGCGCAGCGTGGAGTAACAGCGCCACCTAGCAGCTGCCTCGGGGTAAGGGCTCGGGAGCCCTTCCCGGCGAACAAAGAAAGCGCACCCCTTTCTGCGGGGGCGGTGGGGTGGTGGTGGAGTGGTGGTGGGATGGGTGGAGGGACGTGGGGATGTTCTGGGAAGAGTGGGGCTTGTTTACAGAACCAGCCTGTAACTCCCGGGAAGAGGGGGGAGGAGAGGGAGAAAATGCGGGAGAGAGTGAGGCAACCAGGGCTCAAAACAGTCAAATTCAAATTAAAAGGTCCAGACAAGCTTCAGGTATTCCTTCCCATCTCTTCACCTTCCACTTTCTTCACTCCAAACCACCTTTTCTTTTCTTGGGCTCGGTGCCGCGCGATGCTTTGGGGGAGGCGGGAAGGATCTCCAGTGGGCTTAGGGCGAAAGAGAAAGTTAAAGAATCAGTCAGGACTAAAGTTTCTGCTCTCCTGCCTCCTGATTTCTCCAGCTTGGCCCTTGGGCCTGCGAGCTTCGGACCACCAGTCTTGGAGGTTGGTTGAGTTGTAAGTTTCTTGTGGGGGATTAACTGGGAATTTCAGGTGTCTAGAGTGGGCTGGGATAGGTCACGGTCATTTAAGGGATGCTGGGCAAAGGAGGATCCTAGTGGACTTTGGGATCACTGGAGGAGGAAGCTGAAGATTAGAGGTATCCTGTCCCCAACCCTGGAGTTGCAGCCTGGGCCCTACCGGATGAACATCTCCAGTCTCTGGCCTTTGTTGGCCTTCGAGCGGGTTTGGTAGGGTGTTTTGCTCCAAGCCCTGGCAGCCCTTCTTTTCCGCTTGACCTTGTCCCTACTAAAACAAGAAATATTCCTGGAGAGAAAGTCCGAACTTGCAGGCCTTGATTGGGTTGGAGGAGTGGCGCATGCATGCCAGAAAGAAGTGAAAGACGCAATTAAACCTCATCAGAGAAGAAGTTTTCTTTTTCTTTTTTTTTTAAGCGATTTGTTTGGGAATATTTTTTAAAGAAGAGAGGCGGTCTTGTGTGTGTGTGTGTGTATTACTAAAGTGAAGAAGCAGGGGAAAATGTGTGTTTAAAATAGTTCGTTCGATTTCTCCATCACCTTTCTTCCAAAGAGAACTAAACTCTCCACCCCTTCCTCAGGAAACGGAATCCGGAGAATAACTTGTCTTTCTGGTAGTCCTACATTTTTTCCTGGGCAGAGGCAGTGGGCTTCCTCCCCCACCCCCAAAGACCAGAGCCTGGCTGAGAAAGGGTTCCAGGGTCGAAAGCGCACCGGCGTGAGTGAAGAAGCTGGACCGATTGCTGGAGGCCCTAGCCAGCTACAATGGAAGTGGACTAAGGAAAGAACTGTGCCCCAAATTCCCCTAGCCAGGTGTGGAGAAGACGACGCATGGGTCCCTTGATTCCAGGGTAAAAAAAAAAAAAAATCGAAAGATCTGTGGCGTGTATGGCTTGTTTGCAGGCCTGCAGGCCGGTAGGGGAGCTTTGAAATAATTTTGTGTTTTCGTTTGCAGGGGTCACCCTGGCTTCAGCCTGTGAGTTATCCAGGGCAAGGTTAGGCTGTTTAGGCCCCAGACCAGACTTGGGACAGTTCCCAGCGGCATTCAGTCTGGGGAGCCATTTGTCCCACTGCCCATCCCGCGGGAAACCTCGGAGACTTTATGGCCACTCTGTTTGTATTATCTGCATAAGTCTTTCCCCATGAGTTTGATCGAAACCGTTCCCTTTTACAAGGACCCAAAGAAAATTTCCCATCATATTTATCATCTGGGGATAAAAATTTAGTATGGGAACTGATATTTCCTCATTTATGGGAAGATGAAATTAAAGACCAAAGCAATAGAGAACTATGTGGCTTTGGGGGCTCCTCCTCCTCCTCCTTCACATCTCCTTTATTTCCTCCGCGTCCCTGGAGTCTGTCCTCTCAAAACCCTGCCCTTGTCCCCTGTTCTGGACTCTGGGAGGGCCCTTTCTCCAACATCCAGGTGCGGCTGGACTACCTCAGCTCTTCCCAGCTTTTACCTCAGTGACAGGAGCTGGGGAAGGGGCAGTGTCTCCATCTAGGAAGCGCTGTGCTGGCTAGAGAGAAGGTTTTGAGGGAAGAGCTTTGCAGCGGACAGTGGAATTGGAACCCAGTCTGAGAGGAGATAGTGAGAGTCAGAGGAGGTTGAAGTTGAGAGATTCTAGAATAATCCTCAAACAACACACACCCAGACAGAAACTGGCTAGCTATCAAGAGAAACCCTGTCTGGGGGGGGGAGGAACGAGAGAGAGAGAGAGAGAGAGAGAGAGAGAGAGAGAGAGAGAGAAGCAAAGTCATCCAGACTTTCTCCTTGACCAGCCAGACCCCCCTGCCTCACCCCAGGCTCACCTCCAACCCCAGTCATGAAGTGAAGAGACTTACTTCAGGTTTCTTACCATTATTAGTAGAAATAATACCCTCAGGAGAAAAGCTTCCTGCTTCAACTCCCACCTCCTCACAAGAACGAGTAGTGTTTAAAGTTGAAATAATTAGAAGTATGATAAACACGGCCCATTAATGAAACCAGAAATTAAATTCATCAGCCTTAGTGGGACCCCCGTTGGGACAAATGTTTGCCTCTAATTACTCAAGATAAACGGAAACCCAGCGCTGTTAAGCAAGAGCCCGCTGGCTTGCTCGGACTGACGCAGATGTGAATAACTTGTTGGCTTTTTCCGAGACTTTGGGATCTATCTTAATGGAAGTAAAAGGAAAGGAGTGAAAGCGAGGGCCCGGGTAGAGAGCATTTGTGTGGATTGAGGAAAGTCCTGTCTAGTCTGGGTCCCAAGCCCTGCCCCCTTGGACTCGCCTTTCCTGAGGCCTTGAGCAAAAGGCAGTTCCATCCTATTGTCCCAACCTGGCGTTCAAAGGCATGCACGCCGCCCTAGCTACCCAGTCTGCTGCCACTGCCCGGAGCCCACTGGCCTTACCCAAAGGCCACCCTTGGTCACTGAATTGGGCCCCAGGGGAAGTCTGTGTTGCTAGTCAACCCATACATTGCTTTTTTAAAGGCTATCACCTCAACTTCCCCCATTGTAGAGAGCCCTGCACCTAAGTCTTCCTCTGGGTCTCCCCCTTTTCTTACCTCAACAAGGAAGTGAAAATTCCGGGGGCTGCAGGCCAAAGTGGGGACTCAGGCTGTGCCTGTGTCTCAACAAATCCCACCCGCCCTAAGAGTAAGGCCCAGGCTCCTTTGACTCTTCCCGCCCGAAGAGTCAAAGGATACAAACACCGAAGGGCAGTCCTGTTGAACTGGACTGGGCCTCCTGGGCCTTCTGCGGCCTTTGGGTCCGCGAGCAAAGGAGCAGAAGAGGGTTCAGGAGCTCCTTGCTGGCTCCAGAAGGGCCTAGAAGTTCTTTGGGGGCAGATACCCTAAGGGTCCCTGCTAATAGATAGAAATGAGTCTGGGCTCTTTCCGACTGAAGCCCAGAAGTACCCGGTTCTCTCCTCTGAAAACTGTCGGAGTTTTTTTTTTTTTTTTAAGAGAGGTCAAGGATGGTCTGGTGTAATTCTGAAGACGGTGAAAAAGAAGGAAGAGTATATCTTCTTTTGGAATAAAAATTATTAAATACAGTTTTAAAAATTGCATACTAAAATCTCAAGCAAAAATGTAAAACAAAATCACACCATTGACTGTTAGGATTATCTTCTTGCTTTGGAGGCCGAGATTAATCGTTCTTTCCCCAAATCTTGAAGGAACAATTCGCCTTTCTTCTAGAGCACCATGCTCTGCTTGAATCTAGAGCAGGGAAACTCCAAGCAAAATGTGGAGTGCTCAGAGGTTCAGGGGAGAAAGGTTTCAAACAGGTAGAAAAGGTGAGAGGCTGAGGACGGCTTCTGTTCTATTCGGATTTGCAGCCCCTCGGGCGGGCGGGCGGGCGGGCAGGCAGCGCTGCCGCCGACTCGCTCTCACATTAGACATTGTGCACACTTGCACCCAGAGGCTGTCGAGCATCTATCCACACGTCCAGCTTGCGGTTAATTGCACGTACACAGCCTCATGTATTCACTTCTACCCAAAGCACTTCCTGCGATCCTTAAATCCTGAAGTTCTCTGTCTGCGTCAGCTCCACTGCTTCCTGGCCCTTCTGAAACCAGTTATTTAACCTAGCCTACGGAATCGAAACCAGACCGCACAGACCTCAGAGAGAAGAGTCGTCAGGAGGAGGAGCCCAAAGGGAGGAGGTCTTGTGGGGAAGGTCCTGGTCCCCACTTTAATGGTTTGTTTCAGAGTTGCCTCCGTAGGTCAGATTTCCAGTCAATGTGGGCTGGTTGGGCTGCTTCGCTCCTAAGGGTAAAAAACAGGAACCTCCATCACCAGCTAAATTTCGTTTCAAAGGTTTTTGTTGCTTTTTTCCCCCTGCTTTTCTTCCTTCCTTCCTCTCGTTTCTTTTTCATTTTCCTCCTTTCTCTTCGTTATCTTTTTATTGTCTCCTTATTTTTTCTCTGTAATTATCCCTTATTTTTTCCCTAAGACTCTAACTTGTTTTCTTGTTTTCACCTTTCCTTTTTTCTTCTTTATCCTTGCTTTCTTCAATTCCTTGCTGCCCTCCCCAGCTTGCGGCTTCTGGTGGCTTACTTAGTTTTCTCTGTTGTGCTGAGCTATGTGAGTAGGGGAAGCGACAGACTGGATTCGCGTATCCTCGGTCCAGTTGCTCCGGCTTGATGTTGACCTTCTGCCTTCAGCCTCAGCTCAGCTCCTCACAAGGCGAAGTGTACAACAGTGAACAGGAGGTGGCCAGGCCTCAGAGTCGCCATTAGAGGAAAGGAAATGCCGATTCAGAGGCAACTCCGCATCAATGCCAAAGGCTCCTTGAAGTGCCAGGCCCATTTCCATCACACTGAAGAAACTTGGTCTACCAGACCCATAATTAAAGGAAAGTTCCCTCATTTTTGTTCTGACTCCAGAACTGAGCACTAAACAGACTAAAGTTGAGCTTGTTTGTGCTCTCAGCACTAGGGTTAGGAGCGTGAGAGGGGCAGGGTCTGTCAATGACAGGTAGAAGGCAGGTCCAAGGAGTTATATATAAGTTGACATTCCAAGGCTATGTCACTACATGAGTACTTTTGTTGTCCATAAAGGACTCAGGAGAACTGGAGCCCGCTGGGCCCTTGCTGTCTCTGATTATGTAACAATTGCAACTTGTAGGCACAAATATCCTGCTAGTCTGGATTTTTTTCTTAAATCCCCAAAGCAACAGGACTGTGTGTGTAAAAGCCCCTACCCCCAAATTAGGATTTTGAGTCAGGATTATAGGACTTCTCTCCTCCAAGAAGTGGGTAGAAGGGATGTGTGTGTGGGAAAGGGAGAGAGGGACGAACAGTTACAGAAAGACAGGGGGGGGGAGAGAAAGAGGAAGAGAGAGAGGAAGAGAGGAGAGAGAGGAAGAGAGGGGAGAGAGAGGAAGAGAGAGGGGAGAGAGAGAGAGAGAGAGAGAGAGAGAGAGAGAGAGAGAGAGAGAGAGAGGAAAGCAGGCTCTAATGGGGAAGGCTTGTCTACTGCTGACATTTTGCACTGTGTGCATCTGTAAAGAGTACATGTCAAACGCATGGTGGAAGGCTCTCCTGAATGCCTGTGGCTTTTGTTCTCTGCAAGGCCCCAAAGACAGGTCCAGGGTAGACCTCAGAAAGGACTGGTTTGACTTTCAAGCCCTTTTGCCTTCCACAAAGAAAAGTACCCCCTTACACACATGATGAAGCCTCAAGGCTCATCTTTCTCTCCCCCTTCTCAAGGATTCCATCCTGTGTCAAGACCTGAGCTAAGCCATTTTTTTTTTCCTTCAAGGAGGGGGAATCTTGTAAAACTTTTATGCCAAACAAAGTTATAAAAACTTCCAGGGCGTTGCCTTTTCTAAAGGTTTATATGAA